AACATAACCGGAAATCTCCATACATCTTACCTGGAACAACGATCATATTTGATTGCTAGAAGTCATAATATCGTCTTTATGATAATGGATTGGTTCACTCTCAGTAAATCATGCACTGACATCTAAGTATCCTGAAACCGGAGCTTATATTAAAAGTATCAAATATATGCGTGGTGTAATAAAACAGGATTTTCGAAAGAAATGCCACCAACAGTCCGGCACTATGAAGAATTTTTTTGATTCTTACTTTTCGGAATTGCGGTTGGTTGCATGACTGTGGTGAATTTGTATGATGGGACGGATTCTGGATAAGAAGTAAGAAGTACATTGTTAATTTGTCGTTTACATGATAAAATGGCTGAATGTTGTAATATTAATTTGAAGTTTCTGTACCATTTGGAATGAAAGGGAAAAAAGCATTAATTGGTGTGCATATGAAGGTTTACTTAACTGCCATTATGAGTATCTCATTTGTAGGAAGGATATGCGTATGGTCCAATGTCGGAGAATACCTGCACTACGGAGGATATTTTTTACTCTTATTTTCATGAATTTATGTGGCGGCGCCAGTATACTGATTCTAGTTCAGATAATTTTAGGAAGTTTTTGGATGCTGTTCAGGAATTTTATTTCACTGAAGATAGGGAAATTTGTAAATAAGGTAAGAAGATATTTCCTTTATGTAGTGCTAAATGAATTCCCTCCCTTTTTTTTGTTTGTTATTTCATTGTTCGATTTGAAATGTAGTTTATTGAGATTATATACATATTTTTATGGCTGCTCATTTGACTTTTTAAGCGAATACAGATTGATGTATACATGAACAAAGTCAAGGGAATGCGCAGTGCCTAGTTTGTGCAATTCTCAGATGTGTTTTTAAGAAAAAAATAGGTCGATGTGTACATGGATACTGAGTTTGTGGAATCTTTGACTTGTTTTAAAAAATCGCCGTTACACAAAGCCAAAATAAGAAGTCGCAGAATGAATAAGCTCAGTGTCCATGAACTTCCAAAAATGTTCAATTATCACTAAGGAGCACCCGTAAATATATTTTTACCGCATTATGTTTTGGACAGCATTTTACTTGGGAGGGCGTTGCACAAAAACAGGAATGGTGCCAAAAAATGGCTTATTTTCGTCAAGGGGGTCTCTGAAATATATTTCCCCCTGTATTTTTTATATTTAATCTGACAAACTAACAAGTAAATAGGTGACCCCAAAAAATTATGGACATAAGTGAAAATTTCGGTTAATCTTTGGATTATGGTAACTCGGCAATTTTTTGGCGAAAATTTGGCAACCAAACCTGCTAGTTTTTGTTTGGACGCCATTTTGTTTTCACGAAGTAAGGCATGTTTTTTTTTTTTTTTTTTTTTTTTTTTTTTTAATCAACATTGCCAACAAATCTGCTAGCCGAAATTACCGTATGTGTTTAGACTTTTATAAACAAAAGTGCTTAATCATGACGAAGATTAGTTGTGGAATTATGACAAAGTGAGAATCGCCACTGCTTGCGCGTTTTACGAATTGCACATACCACGGTATAATCCAGTAAACGTCACTATTTTACTTAAGAAAACATCCCAGAATTGCAAAAATGGCTTGCGCACACTCGTGATATATCCTGTACCCTGCTAGCTATATCCAAGTCCTAGCTAGTAACCTTTATTGCCTTACCAAAATGTCGCCAAACTACCCGTTACCATATTCCAAAGATTAGCCAAAATTTCTTCATATGGTGAAAAAACAAAGCCAGCAGGTTTAGTATTATTACAACATGAATGGACCACACAGCAAAATAATTTCAGACTTGAAACATTTCTAAATACACACAAAATAACATAGCTACTGTCTTCTCAAATCTGAAAGTGAATTACTGATTTAATACTTACCTAAGGCAATGAATAAATCATTTAAATATGTAGTCAGAATGTGGAGACTCTGTAAATATTTAGCAAATGCAGCCTGAAATATTGAATAAAAAATTATGCAGACAATTATCTACTGTATCAGCAAAATTTTTATCAAATGCATAGTTCAATGAAACTTTATCAATGAGAGGGGGAAGAAAGAAATTATACTTATGACCCTTAAAATTCATAAGTAATATGGAGAGCAATGCTAACCAAAATAAAATTTCTAAGACTTTTCAGATTTATTTTTTAAACACAAAAGTGAACTTCCGTTTCGTGAGGCTATATTTTGTCATTAAATGTATAAAATATAAAATAATAATTAGTCTTTAGTGGAAGGAATTACTCATTCTAAATATAAACTATATTATTACTTATTTAAACATGCAATTACTATTCCGATTCTATAAGAAATAAATGGTATGTTTTTAAAAAAAATCAATCTGATCCTTGCCGTGTTAAAATTTAAACTTAGGTAAACAAGTATGACCTAATCTTCCTAGAAAATGTTTTCTTTTTCTCAAAATACATTACAAATATTACATGAAAGCTGTATTTTGTGCATTTTGATATATATGCTTCACACTGCTTAAAACTCAGAACATTATTTTTATTGTTGCTCTTTACCAACACCAACAAAAATAATATAAATTTAAAATAAAAAAATAAAAATAAAAAAAAAAAAAGGGGGGGAGAGATGTTTTTAGATACAGAAGATATAACACACACTCAGATATTCTGCTCTGTGACAATGGCAAGAACCACCTACCAAAACCAACGAAAACACTTAATTTTCTAATAAATTTAAAATTTAATACTTGTAACTTATAGCTAAAGAATAAAAAGTACCTAAGTACAGACTGATACTGTGTTATGTAAACCTCAATTAATGCCTTTTACAATTTACTTACTTGATGGAAACCATTACTATCCAACTGCAAGGCTTCAGAGACATGCCTTAGAGCTAGAGAGCGATTTTCCATCTCATACAAAGAAATCTGAAAATATAACAATTAAGTACTTTAGTTTGAACAAAGTATTTTCCGAGAATCTTTCATACAATTTATTACATGATGACTTCAGTATTATACATTGTCTATTACAAATCCAAATAAAAAGTTTCACGCTCCTTTGATATGTGCAAAGAAAAAATGATTTCACATTAAATTTTAAAAAAAGAATCATAAAATCAACATCCATAACAAAGTACCACGTAAAATAAATATGTAAACTTAAACTACGCGACACCAGAAATAAATTTTTTTCATAAAGTACTTTATTAAACGGTCATTCCAGTTAAATAGTACAGAAGTCCAATAATTTTATTAATTTAGCGTTTTATTATTACTGATACGCTAGTTATGTAAACAAATTCCTTCCCCCTTAATCGAAATCCAGAGGAGTATGAATCGATATAATAGCACATAAAATATAGATCATCTTATTTTGTAAGTTAAATGTCTGTACAAAAACAGAATAATACCAATATTATTTTAAGCTTGTTTAGATAGCATGCAAAGTAATCATGATGTACTTTTAAATCTCAAACATTTAATGAACTGAAAGCGAAAACAGGTTTCTACCTTACACAGAATAACTGCCACTTTAACTGTTGTCATACGCTGGCGCGAAATTGTAATATCGTCCAAAAGTTGTACGTATACAAATTGCGGATTCTGTAGAATGCGTAAATTTATAGCAGAATATAATATGTTCCATAATTTATATAATTATAAGATCACTGGTGATTGCTTTTAGCCATGCTCTACATGAAATTAACATAGTAATTGTAATTATTTTTCCATTTGACTCATCATTATGGGTGAGTATTCCAAGTAATATTAATTCGAATTTCCCTATGATTGTTATAAATAATTCCAAGAAAATGCCTTAGTATGTGTTAAAATTAACAGGTATTCTTAGACTACCTGCTATTAAAAATAACAAAATTTTATTACAAAATAGCGAATTGCTTGAGCGTCTACTGAAATGTATCTCGAGGAAGACCAATTTAATTTTTTAATGTAGTCAGTGCAAAGTTATTTTATATTACCCTTGCTTACATATATTAATTAAGAGGAAAGTGCAGAATCACCCACGGCTTGGCACGTTTTTAAGAATTGCATATATTCGGTATCCATGTACACATCGACCTATTTTCACTTAAAAAAATCCCAGAATTGCACAAAAATAGCATTGTGCACTCCCTTGACTTTATCCATGTACACATCGACCTATTTTCACTTAAAAAGTCAACGAAGATTGACAAAAATCCAATTCTTCTTACTCTTATAAAAAGCGCCAAGCAAATAAGTGGGCGATTCTGCAACCTTAATTAATAATGAAAATACCTTCATTTATTACTAATTGTGACGAATAATAACTATTTTGTTACCTTAATTATTTTAAACTATAATCTGGAAATTATTCAGGAAACTATTATTTAATTTTAAGAGGCATGCTGTTAAGTTATTTGAAGCAGTATGGATTTATAATAGCCTAACCTTAATGTTAAACTGGCCTATCATTATTTAAGTACCATAACATTTGAAGAATGATAATCTTCTGTGGGCTTATTTTTTGGCGGAATTACATGGCTATAATGACTTTTCTCTTAAAATTTAACAAATGTAAACTAGATTTTTTTTGGAAATTCCTGCGAAACCTCCTATCTTAAAACAGACAGACCTTGCATTTTTTGTCTTGTTCTCTAAACATTTCTTTTGGCTAATCTTTAGAATATGGTAACAGGTAGTTTGGCGACATTTTTTGGTAAGGCGACAAAGGTTACTAGCTAGGACTTTAGCAATAATCTGAGAAGTACACAGTTTGAATCACAGATTATTTTGTATCAGAGAAATGAGAGATCATAAGACTTATAATGTGACATTTTTTGGAAAATTCCGATCATGATTTTAGCTAATAAGCATTTAGAAACAATTTCGCTGCTAAAGTGCAGAATCGCCCACTTATTTGTTTAGCGCTTTTTACAAGAGTAAATTGGATTTTTGTCAATTTTCTTTGACTTTTTAAGTGAAAATAGGTCGATGTGTACGTAGATAAAGTCAAGAGTGTGCGCAATGCCATTTTTGTGCAATTCTGGGATGTTTTTTTAAGTGAAAATAGGTCGACGTGTACATGGATACCGTGTATGTGCAATTCTTAAAAAACGCAGCAAACAGTTTGCGATTCTGCACTTTCTCCCAATTTCACACCTAATCTTCGTCATGATTAAGCATTTTTGTTCCATAAAAGTTCTAGTATAAGCGTAATTCGGCTAGCAGATTGTTGGAAAAAATGTTGAGTAAAAAAAAATGCCTTTACTTCGTGAAAACAAAATGGCGTCCAAACAAAACTAGCAGGTTGCTGTAGCAGGGTTGGTCGCCAAAAAATCACCAAGTTACTGTAAAGATTCACCTTTCTTTTTGTTCACATTCTGCCTGTCTAAAAACTTATAATGAAGAATAAAGTATTCAAAGTAAACAAGATCTTGTCTAAAAGATGAATATTAAAACCCAGTCAAATTTAAATTTTCAATATTGCATGCAACCCCCTTTCCTTACATGCAAAAATTTTTAGATTTAATGAAGGAATAGAGATTATAGCAGAAAGAAATGATTTAAGGATCAATAGGACTTAAGGAAAAGCTCTTTGATGATGCTATACAAATGTTTGATGGTTAAAATTTATTCTTGGTTACCCCTTGGCGAATTTTCTCTTTTTTGATGCCAAGATCAGCACCAATTTCAAGATGGTGCCTATCCTGCTTCCCGCTACACAAAACCAAAACATGAGTCAAAGACTTACACAAACTCAGTGTCCATGTACACATCGGCCTATTTCAACTTTAAAAAAATCAGAGAATTACACAAACTAGGCATTGCACACTGCCTTAACTTTGTCCATGTACACATTGATCTCTTTTCACTTAAACAAAATCAGGAAGCTAAAACAAAATTAAAACTATTGGTTAATCTTTGGATTATGGTAACTTAACGATTTTTAGTCGAAAATTTGGCGACCAACCCTGCTACAGCAACCTGCTAGTTTTGCTTTGGACGCCATTTTGTTTCCATAAAGTAAAAGCATGTTTTTTTAACTCAACATTTTTTCCAACAATCTGCTAGCCTAATTACGCTTATACTAGAACTTTTATGGAACAAAAATGCTTAATCATGACGAAGATTAGGTGCGAAATTGGGAGAAAGTGCAGAATTGCAAACTGGTTGCTGCGTTTTTAAGAATTTCACATACACGGTATCCATGTACACTTCGACCTATTTTCACTTAAAAAACACCCCAGAATTGCACAAAAATGGCGTTGCGCACACTCTTGACTTTATTCATGTACACTGCTAAAGTCCTAGCTAGTAACCTTTATCGCTTTACCAAAATGTCGCCAAACTACCTGTTACCATATTCCAAAGATTACCCAAACTATCATGTTAACCAGAAAAATTCGCCGCTGTCTTAACACACAGAGACGAACATGTAACCAAAAATACAGAAACGGAGAGTAATAAATAATCAAAAATACATATTTCAACTCTACTCTTATATGCGCCCTAAGGCTGTCAAATGTGGCAATATGTGTTGTGAGCTGCTTTTTGGCGTGATTGCATGTTCTGTTCTCCGATGGTTTTGTGGGTGATGTTTCTGTGGCAACTCTTTTTACGTGGAAACTTGGATTTGCTAGTTGGTTTTGAACATTTATTTGTGAAACATAGTATCAATTTTGGGGATAGTGAGTCTGGCTGTCGTATTAATATGATAGAGATTACGTGGTGGCGTGCTAAAGTGATGTTGCCAACTTATAATCGGAAATGCGATTTTGAGTTTTATTTGGTGGTTTATATATTTTTCCATCGTTGTTCTGAAATGGGAGAAGATGCTTTTAGCAAATTTATGGTGAAATTGTTTTGGTGAGGTTTGAAATTGGTATTTCTGCTATTTGAAGAAGCATTCATTCATGGTAAATGCATTTTGTTTTATTCTGTTCTTATTTAGTAGAATGTTATGTTCATTGTTTTTTTAGTATGAATTTCTGTCGCTATTGTTTTTTTTAAATTGTTTGAAATTTATTTTAGTTATTTTAGTTTATTTTGTTGATTAGTGTGCAATGCCTAGATTGTGCAATTCGTAGATGTTTTTTGAAGTTTAAGCAGAACACTGTGTACACGGTATTCTTGAAATTTATTGTTGTTATGTAAATTTATTAAGGAACAGCTTTAGTATAGCCCACCTTCAAAGTTTGGCGAATTTTGTTTGGCGCCAAGACACATGAAATACGTTGTTTTGAAAAATGGTTGCCATCCAGATTTTTGACGAAACTCTGTGTTTAAAAAAATGGTAGCCATCTTGATTTCACCAGAAATCGTGGATAACAGAAATAAGTTTATGACTGTTATACACGGTTTTAAGAGAAAGAAATATTAAGAAATGATTAAGGTAAAAGGATGTATTTTAAAACAATACCGGAACCTTTAGCTATTTCACCTTAATAAATAATTTGGTGTGACGTCACAATTTATCTCCATGCCGCGTAATTGTATTTTCTCTTAAAAAAAATAATGAATTGTTTTATTATTGTAAATTAACATCAAATTCTTTAAATTTACATTTCTGAGCTAGGCGTAACTGAAAATAAGTATAAATAAATTGTTTATATTTAAAATTATCATGATACAGTAAGCAATTTACCAGTTATTACAACGATAAACACGTCGCAGCTCTCAACTTTATTTCATACAGCTTCCATAATTTTCAAAGATTTTTAAGCTTTAGCATTTATACAAATAAAAAAAAGTTTTTTTTATTAATACTCTGGAACATATCAATTTTATCATATTTACAAATTACGTTTTGCTACGTAACAACATAATCCCTTATATACCAAAAGTAGACATTTTATTATTTTCTAAAAATTTAAACTTCACATTAATAAAACAGGTTCTTAAATTTCTAAATCACATTTATTCTCTGTAGGCAGGCAACTAAATTCTACACATAAATAAATAAAAAATTTAATTTCTCGCAATGAAAGAAAATATTATAAGAAAATAAATACACAAATTAGGAACACTAAGCATGCTTCACATACACACACACACATAAGTGTCTCACAAAAGTGATGGGACACTTGTGCTTTAAAAAGGAACTGAGTAAATAAATTTAAAAACATGTAAAAATTTTTTGTGGGTGTGTTTCATACTTAAATTTAGTAACATTACTACATAAACTACATTTTCTCAAATTGAATTCATTTATAAAATACATTGTTTAGAACGGAGCAAAATGGCGCAATAAGTGATGGTTACTTTTCCATCAGATATTTATCCAAAAATTTTACTTTTAAAAGGTTTTATATTTTGTTGGATTCCTTTTACTTTTTAAAATGAATTTAATTTCTTGGAGATTCGACTAATTTTTTTGCGATTTCTGGGTGATTTTACCCCATTCTTCTTGAAGCACCGATTTTAATAAATTGTCTATCCTGGATTTCTCCACACCAAGATTTTACCTCAGAATCAGATATATTAAATTACTCTCCAGCAATAAACTTCATTCCAGTAATCAGAATTCTTATTTATGTTGATTTGCGAAAGCCGTCTGAGGTTTTGTTCTTTTCACTCACGAAGAATTTTTCCAGGCTGCTCTACCGTGAATCCAGCAAATCGAATACTCTTCCAATAGTCTCAGGATTAACAATTACTCCATATAATGCTTGTAAATCAGCAGCAACTTTGGGAGCACTCATTCTGGATTTTTTTTATATTTCGAACTAATTCGCTTTAGTCCATTGGATAGCTTTGATGGTCGGCAGGTCTTCTTTATCCTAAATCATATGTCTTTTTATATCGTTTAATGATTAAAACTGTTGAATGACTCAGGTTAACGGTTCAGCAGTTTCTCTAATAAAATTTCTCCACTTCAATTTGCAACTTAATACTAATTTCGAATTTAGGCAAAGTTTCTTTTCGTAGCATCAGGCTGCACAGAGATAAAAAACACAAAAATTTCAAAACAAACTGGAAAGAAATACTCCGACGATTGCGATAATTATTGCCAATTGCTTTGAGTAAAAATAAAAACCAAAAAAAATTTTTATTGCTTACTTCAGACGATTTTGTTGCATAGTACGTAGTAGATCTAATGGTGCCCAATCACTTATGTGAGCCATTTTTTGCACCTTTCTAAACAATTGTATTTTTATTAAATTAATATTTTGAGAAAATGTATGTGATGTAATAATTGTTAGTAAATTTAAGTATGAAACACCCAAAAAAAATTTTTACAGGTTTTTAATTATTTTATTACAGTTCCTTTTGTAAAGCACAAGTGTCCCATCATTTGTGGACACTTTATTATCAAAGAACTCATATTATCAAGTCGATTACGATTGCAAACACTACGTATTATAATAAGAGGTAAAAGTTACTTATAGGGCAAAGTTTACAGTTTTGCTACTGTTGGGTAATCGTCGGGCATCGATATATATCGTAAGTCGGAAAGCATTATAAAATATTCAAAAACCAAAACATTAAAATACATTGAAATGAAAAATGATGTTTTAAATATAATTCACGATTAAAACAACAATACAAATTTAAAATACACAAACGATATGTTAAACATTGCGTATAAAATACGTTACATTACAGCTCGTAATCACACACTATCTCGTTTTCCCTTGTACGCAATGATCCGTATTCGCTCGAAAAACATAAAAGAATTGCACAAACTCGATGTTCATGCACACATCCATCTATTTTCTCCTTAAAAATGTCAGAGAATTGCACAAACTCGGCATTGCGCACCACATTGGATCTGCCAATGTACATATCGATCTATTTTCACTTAAGAAAACATCCGAGAATCGCACAAACTCGGCATCGCACACAAACCTCGGCATTGCGCACTACTTGGCTTTGCCCATGTACACATCGATCTATTCTCACTTAAAAAAATATCCGATAATTGCACAAACTTGGCATTGCGCACTACATTTGCTCTGCTCATGTACACATCGATCTATTTTCACTTAAAAAAACATTACAGAATTGCACAACTAGGCACAGCCACAACTCGGAATAGCGCACTACATTGGTTTGCCCATGTACAACATCGATCTATATTCACTTAAAAATTCCTATAATGCCACAAACTAGGCACCGCGCACAACCTCGGGCATAGTGCCTATTTGCTTTGCCCATGTACACATCGATCTTTTCACTTTAAAAAAAATCCTATAATTGCAAACTAGGCACCGCACAACCTCGGCATACCGCATACATTGGCTTTGCCCATGTACAACATCGATCTATTTTCACTTAAAAGACATCCCAGAATTGCGCCCCTAGCACGCGCACACCTCGGCATAGCGCACTACATTGGCTATGCCCATTAAACATCGATCTATTTTCACTTAAAAAAACATCCTAGAATTGCACAAACTAAGCACGCGCACAACCTCGCATTGCGCATTACATTGGCTTTGCCCATGTACACATCGATCGATTTTCACTTAAAAAAAACATCCTAGAATTGCGCAAACTAGGCACCGCGCACAACCTCGGCATTGCGCACTACATTGGCTTGCCCATGACACATCGATCTATTTCACTTAAAAAACTTCCTAGAATTGCACAAACTAGGCACCGCGCACTGCATTGGCTTAGCCCATGTATATAGCAATCTCTTTTTACTTAAAAATCAGAAATTGAATAAACACTGCATTGCTATATACAAGAAATCTTCTTTCACTTAAAAGAATCGGAGAATTGCAGAAATGCGCGCATAAGCAACTTCATTGATTGCGTTGGAAAAAAAAAAGTTTCTAGAAAAATTGAGCTTACTACAGGCGAATCAAGATCCTAGCCTAATTGATTTTCTCAGCCGTCATTTCTTGCAAATACTACCATTCGATGACTTTTTCTGACTAACTAATCACAATGGTATCTTACATTTTTCACAGAAAACGTTATCCTTCAATAATCGACAATCCATCAAAATCCTCTAAAGTTCATACTTTATTGTTAAATTCATACATAAAATATCTGTTCCCAAAATTTCGCTTGTTTGAAAACTCCACCTTAAATTTCCTTTATAATCTCCTGATATTTAATTAACAGCACTAACACAGTTTTACAGCAAGCAATAACTAAACGCAAAAATATCACCTCAAGTAGCAAAAATATATATACAAAATAGTATTCACGGTATCTGACCGTTAAACCAATCGCCAATAACGTGTTATGAATTGTGTTAGATATTAATTTTAGTAGAATTCTAATTTAAAAATGTGTATTTCCTCCTGCAACGCGCGTGAGACAAATTTTAAGAGAAATCTATACCGAAAGTAAGAATACAGGCATGTGCATTAAACTTTGAGTAACGATATGTCGGTAATTTTGTATTGAATTGAATAAATGTACTGACTACTAAATTAGCTGAAACCGTAATTCCTCCTCTTGTTTACATGCGTTGGCTAATAGTATGGGTTTCCGATCATATCTTTTGCCCGCCTCTGGGAATTTTTTTTTTGTTTAAAATTTCCAGTGGGTGGGTCTAAGCTTGGGTGCCTTCATTAAGGCGGTGTGCGTAGTCGTAGATTCCTTCGCTGCCTTAGATTGTGGCAAGTCATACATGTTTTTTCAAGTGAAAACGCGCACTGGGGTTCTTGTCGAAATTTTTTGGTAGAAACTTTAATTTTTGCTAACTAATTTTTTGTGGTTTTGGGTTAGCGAATGTGTTTCAAAACATGGTTTTTGCACATGCGAAAATTGCGTTTTTGCAGATATTGTAGGCTAAAGGTTCGAAATATAGACAAAAAATTTAGGTAGTAATGTGGCGGCGTGGAGTTTCTCTCCAAAAATGTTTGACGAGAAATTTGGCGACCTGAAGCCATATATAAGAGTAGTTCCCATATTTCCTAACATAAAAACTTTGGTACTTTTCCATTTCACCGGCGCAAATCTCGCCAAGCAGACTTTATTAGCAACACGATACAGTATACACATAAAAAGTGCTAACAAACGTTAGTTCTAAGAATTTTTTATTTTGAAGGCATAAATACTGTAACATGGTTTAAAATTTTATAAAAAGACAATAAATAAAAACAATAAATTTGTAAAAAAGACATTAATTTAAGAATTTACTATGCTTATATGGTTTAACATCCTAATTCGCCGGTTCATATCACGTGACCCCAAGTAATCTCATCTCACGTAAACTACGCTACAAAATTCTAATTCTCTCAGTAATTATCTACATTAATTTCAAGTTAAATCTTAATTTGGAATACAAGTTTAAAATGTAAGAATTATTTCATTTCGTATGAATAGCTTACTCAGAAATTACTTAAAATGGCAATGCTTTACTTTGCTAGTGCATTCTCATTAGAATTGATAAATTTAACACTTGACTTTGCCTTTTCTATATTTTCGCCTTCGGGTGAGGGGTTTTATTGCATCCTAATTGACTTAATTATCGCGAATGGCCTTAGGGCATAAAATTGAGCTATCTAGTAAAAATTCTGTGTAATATTATGTACATAGAACTATTAGAAAAGTACCTATTATTCTATTTTCGTTCACGTACAAATTTTGCCAGCAAATTAAGAATTTCTTTAATTTGCTTCAGATATCAGAATGATCATTTCAATATGCACATAATTTTTACTTTTATTGATGACCTTATCAAAGAACTCATTTATTATCACATAAAATCTAAAAATGATGCATTTAGCATATTTGTTTTATGTTATTATTCATGCTCCTTTGATAAAAACGGTACTTTTTCATTTTGCCAGTGCGAATGGCCTTAGGGCATAAAATTGAGTTATCTAGTAAAAATTCTATATAATTTTATGCCAGTATTGAAAGAAGCAATCAATCTGATAAGAAATGGCTGTGAATTGTTTTGAAATTGAGGCGTAAAATGTTACCAGAGAAGATATTCCGTTTGGCTTCAGTTGTACCACTATTGGCGACTTTATTGCCTGCGTCAGCAAAATGGAAAAGTACCAAAACTTTAAACAACAAATCTTTTAACTAGAATTAACATACCAAGATGAATAAATAAATGAAACGGCAATTTTTTAACATATCTTTTTTTCACGTGCAGACGTTCACCCTTTCCACCACCATCTCCTCCATTCTCGACATAAGCAATTCAATTAAATTTTTAGTCACTTCGACTCATCCATTGTTAATGGCAGATAAATACGTATAATAGCGTCCAAGAAAGCCATAAATATATTTTCCCCCCTTTGGACCTTCTTGCACTACACATATTTGGCCAAATAATAGTTCAAACCGTTCTTCATTTTCCTTCTGGCTAAACCGCTTTAACGGCACTCCACATTCCTTCTATTTTATTAATGTTGGCACCTATGGTGCGGGGTGCAGATAATCAAAGTGCCAAAAATTCTTTGTAATGTATATTTAATTTATTCATATTTTAAGAATATTTTTATGCTTCCTGGTTTCTTTACATAGTGTTATTACTTTTACTGATAAACAAAATTTTAGGTTTTTGAATATTTGATATAACTTTTAATCAATTTCTGTTAATTTCAGCTATACCTCAGACGAAAACATGCGTTGTTCCTACCTCCAGAAAAGTGCACTGGCAGCATGAATCTATTGGCAGGTCTTCAATTTTACATTTAACGTTGAAGCAGTAAGAATAATTTTTATTTTAAACTTCTGCTTAAGTTAGTTCTCACCAAATTTGAAAACAATTTCTTAATTGTCCGTTTCAGTTCTAATATTTTACAATATGTAAAAAGTGTGATATGATAATTGATGGGCTCTTTTTATTTTTTGTAGTTAATGCACGGAAAAGTTTTTTGAATTTCAAATAAAGCTCATAATTGTCATATATATTTGAAACATGCATGCATGAGTTGAATATTGTCACATATGTATTCGAAAATATGCCAAATATATGGCAGTTATATCATAAAAAACTTCCCAGAAGGGACAAATGCTGCTGTATCCAATATTGTTAAACAAATTAAGGGTCAGAATCTAACTTAACCTTTTGCTATACAGGTTTAACATGTTGTATACTCTTAAGAAACATTGGTAAAAGTATATTTAAGGGTACCCCTTGACGATTTTTGGCGGCACATGGATACTGAGTTTATGCAATTCTTTGACTTATTATTTTTGCTTGCGTAGCGGCAATTTTTGTGCCAAAAATCAAAGCCAAAATAAATACAAAATACAAGACAAAGAATGGCACAAACTCTGTATCCATGTACACATCGACCTATTTTCACTTTAAAAAATTCCCAGAATTGTACAAAAATGGCATTGCGCACTCCCTTGAGTTCGCCCATGTACACATCTATATATTTTCACTTAAAAGTCAAATGAGCAGCCAATTCTAGAGGCAGACAAAAAATACATAATCTGAATAAATTACATTTTAAACCAAACAATAAAATAACATAAAAAAGGAAAAACCTGTTATGCATATAAGCAAAGCAAATATCCACTTACCCTATTTAGAAAATTCCTTTGTCTTCAGTCTGTGGCTCACAAAATTCCTTAACAGCATCCGAAAACTTCCTAAAATTATCTGAACTCGAATCCGTATATTGGCGTAGCCACATAAATTCACAAAAGTAAGAGTCAAAAATATCATACATAGTTCCGGACTGTCCGGAAAATGTCTACTAAGTAAACCTTCATTTACACACCAGTCAATGAATGCACGTTTTCTCTTTTGGGAACTACTCTGATATGCGCCCTCAAGTCGCCAAATTTCTCGCCAAATATTTTTGGCAAGAAACTTCACCCTGCCATATTACAATCTAAATTTTTTGTCTACATCTTGAACTTTTAGCCTAAAATGTCTCCAAAAACGTGGTTTTCGCACATGCAAAAACTTTTGAACACACATTTAGCTAAAAAATCCGAAACAAAAACAAAAAATTTAGATAGCAAAAACGTAAAGTTTCTAACCAAAAATATTTGACAAGAATGCATGTACACAGCGACATGTTTTAACTTAAAAAAACATCTACTAATGGCACATTGTAGGCAACAAACGAATCTACGAACTATGCACACCTCGCTTTAATAAATTAACATAACAACAATAAATTTCAAAGAATACCATGTACACAGAGTTCTGTTTCAACTTTAAAAAACATCTATGAATTGCACAATCTACACTAAAAACAAATCAAGAAAATAAACTAAAATAAATTTCAGAAAATTCAAAAAACAACAATAAAAACTGAAATTCATCCAAAAAACAATGAATATAACATTCTACAAAATAAAAACAATAAAATAAAATGCACTTACCATAATGAAAGCTTCTCTTTAAAAGCAGAATATCTTTCCCCCTATCTTCTCAAATACAGAGCATACAAAGTCCAAAATACATTCGTTAAAAAATTTCGCCAGTCACACAACGTCTGTGAAGAAAACTTCCACGATTTTGCTATATCACATGCCTTCCGACGATTCAAAATTCGAAAGTAACATAAAAAACTTCCTCCAAGTTAACTTGCTACACGAAAACCAAGATCCAAACTTAAAACTCCGCTGACACCACATACTTTATTAGCAACAATTTTACTGCAAACCACACAAGTCTATCAGAAACATCTTTTTTCGTCCGAGTTCTCACATCAGCTCCACATTTCAGACACGTCAAACTCCGTTTTAAAAGTCCCGACTCCCACAGAAATTCCAAAAATAAACCATGATCCCCATAAATACATCCGTGAACAAAAGACTCGTTAACAACTCCAACATCGTACCTTTTCATACTAAATTTACTCTGCACACAATCTAAAATACGCGGCTGAAACCTTCCCACCACGTCCTTTCATCGCAACATAGGCCATTTCAAAAACACACACGACACGAACCAACTAGCAATTTAAACTACTCCATCAAAAGACTTTTCAACGTCGATATGGTTACCATACAACACGCAATCGCGCCAAAAACCAACGCAAAACACATATCGCAACATTGGGTGAAATTAGGGCGTTTATCAGAGTTGTACCCCCTTTTGTTCCAAGTCATACAAAAACTTCAAATTTAATCTTACTACATTCAGCCATTCTACCATCTAAACAATAAAACAAATAATGTATTTCCTAACAACACGCAGCACAAAAGCCCTTACAAAACATCCCACAATTCAAAATTTCCCAAAATAATGCAAACGATTATATCATAATAGGATTTCCATAACATTCAACTACTCAGGTAACCATAAATGAAATAACAACTTGGCGATAAATGAAACAATAACTTCCCGATAATACAAGGGGTACTCTAAAGTCAACTCTAACCGAAACATTGACCTAAACAAAAATACCATTTAAAGGCGATAGAAGTTGAGTGTGCCATCCATGTAACAGAGAAATCGGTCTGTGAAAATCACAAATTAGAGATTAGAAAATGTGAGATCACAAAGCATTTGTAAAAGTGTACGCATTTTGGAAATTGTTTTCTTACAAATTGCTCATGTTATCTAACTAGTTCCATTGCGTTCTCCTAAAGTCACCGTTTGGTGTCATATGACAGCTAGTTTCATAATTGGACCGTTTTTCTTTCAAGAGCAGCTGACAGCTGGACCTGTCACATGCACCGTGACTGCTAGTGCTGTAAAAAATGAGAAATTGTGTACCCATATCTATTCGTTACTCAATGAATCAATACTCGTTACTTTCGGTTGAATCGAGTTTAGTATGAAGCCTCACATGGCACTGAATCACGTGAGCGGCTGAACTCCGCGGGAACGAGGAGTGCTGTGATAGGGACTTTAGCATTACATTTTTGAGTAGAAATAATTCACTTTGTTTTGGCTATTATTTTGTGGTACACTGATGTGATTAAATATTTAATTTTGTATTGCTGTCAGGGCTTAATTTCTAAGCCAGAAGCACGGAACCCTACGGAAGGCCATCAGGAAGGTAGGAAAAATAAAATAAAAATAAATAAAGTAAATATTACAATAATAATATAATTAGTATTAAAATAATAAATTTTTTTAAATAATAAAAGCTGAAGGATTCCGATTTTTAATGACGTCCAAAAGGGCATTTTTTAACATTTTATGTGTTATCTTTATTTATTAAATATCACGTTCTTCGCACTTAAAACATAAAATTCAGCTCAAGAGCAATATTGCAAAATAATTTTAAAATGTCCATATCTTTAGAATTTCCGATACACAGTATATTTATATGATAAACGCTAATCAAGAATATATATATATATATATTTCTTACCTTTGAAGCTCTTGTAGGATGGAATTTTTGATGAAGTGCCCTTATACATTTTCAATGGAGACTGGATCTTTCGAGAAACAAGTACACAAGGGGGGAATACAGTAATGGCGATCAGTCAAACTAACCAAAGAATATTCATACACGTTCTTTGAACTAACACTACCCAGAGCTTGAGAAGATATCAATTGAAGGTCAAGGCTACGAGTTGCAGGGATAAAGTTCTCCCGTCTCGAAGGCACCGTCTCAGGCACTCAAGTGTCTCTTCAGTTGGTTAAACGAATACGAAGGATGTGTTATTATAATTATAAGCTGAGATATATTCTATTTTATAAATTCTCACTAATATGGCACGAAATAAAGTTCAGTTTAGAATAAAAAGAATATTGTGCAATGAAATAGTTGTAGAGCATTAGGTACCTGCATTTAATGAACTTTCGGGTTGTGCTTTATAATGATCTCAATAATTGTAAATGTAAGTTCCGTGCAGCAAGTTACATTTGAATTATTTACTTTTATGTCAAGTGAATTCACATTAAGAACTCTGTTTTTCAAATGATAAATTTAACAAAGTTAAACTTAGAAGTTGTTGCACTGTATGCGGTGAAATGTTTCATATTAAGTCAGCATATTAATTCAAATAAATTTGTTCCTCAAAAATAATAAATAAAATCATATTTCAGAAATAATTGCTAACATGATTTGCATTGATTTTGGAAATATGATTTTTTAAAATATATAAAATGCATAGCTTAATAACTTACACTTTATAGATTGTTTTCATTTTCAATATTTTTCTATAATATTTATAAAAAAATATTTTAAGTACAGACAAAAGTCTTTAACCCGGACTCGTCGGGACTTTGGCGATTCCTGATTATCGATTTTTCTGGATTATAGATCATCAGTTTAAATCTGGTAAGATGGCATGCAGAAATTATAAAATTAAAAATATAAAACCATAATTTATGAAATAAAGAGCAATCATGATCTAAAGGGTATCAAAATTTATATAAAAAAAAGCTTAATATTTATTTTTTTTACTTTATTAAACATTTCTTTCAACGCGCGCATGCGTAAAACATACATTATGCATAGTCGAAATTAGAAAATTGCAACCAGGAAACTATTTGATTTGTATTTGTGATATTTATAATGACGAGGAATTTAATTTAAATCATATCAAAGACGAAGTACATCAAGGTGAAATACTACATTTAGTAAGGAATTATAAGCCGAATAAAATAAAAACATCTGCCCTGAAGATAAGGATAGTACTGACAGATCAACTTCCAGTTCATTGCGCGCCGTGACGTCCCCGCGCAGAGCAGCGTGAATTTGATAAACAGATTTCGGAATGGTTAGAGAAACAAAGGAACCTTTATCCATTTTTTGAAGCAATTCCACTTTTTGTTCGATGGACATTGAAACATGCTTTCCCTTTGTAGATCCAGCATCAGAAATTCTATTTGACATAATCGAAAGTTCCAACTTACTTTTATAAAATTGCTCTAACAGTCTGCAAAAAATAATAAGCCAGATTCAATTAGAAGATTAAGAAACAATGCAATCTGCAACATTAACTGAAATAGATAATTAGATAATTTTAGCTTAGCTTATATCGTTATACTTTAAACGTGCATGCGTAAACATATTATGTGCATGTGCAGAAAGTTTGTAGCTTTGAGGTCCGGATTATAGATCATTCCGGATTATGGGTGTCCAGATTAACGACTTTTGACTGTATTAATTATTTTAACAAAATTTTAAACAATAATTTAGCACATATTTTTAGTTCTAATTAAATTTAATAATTCAAAAGTATTTATATTAAATTTATGTTTCATTACATGAATCTACCTTAGATTAATATATTTAGATGAAATAAAGTAATGAAAGATTTCAAAATAAATCTTAGCAGACTTCAGATTCTTGAAAAGGCAGATTTAGTCTCTTTTAATCCTAAAAGTAATGCTGATGAATTAGGAAAAAAGTGCTAAAACGACTTCGTCTAAAAGTGGTCAAATCATGACGTTTTAACGACGTCGATAAATTGCCAAGATGCAACGGCAAAATTTTTCATCTTTGCTATGTTGTAAAGACCTCGTAAAAGTTACCACGAACACTTTGCAACCTCCCGGACTAGTTTGCAACGTCGTGTGCTACTTAGGTGTGTACACAATAAAATTCGTCCGAATACAAAGAAAATCCTTGCATTAAAAAAATGTTAATAAAGTTGCGCAACAGCGATAGTTCGGTTCAAATCCTGGCGAATGAGCTGGCTGCATGAGCGTTTTTGTGGTTTTCCTCATATGTAACGTGTATACGAGCCAGTTTCCCCTTAGAAAGGTCCTCCACGAAGGCATCGCTTCCCTTAGGCAGATATCCCTAGTGTTCTTTGCGGTAACTGAATAAACCGAAACAAAAAAGAGAAGGGCGACAGAGAAGGGAGCAACAAAACAGCACTTTTTTGGGCTGGGGATGAAATGGTATTAAACCTCTGAGATTAGGAGGACAGTGGTCCATTGATGACTTATGCGTCGCCGGCCTGGTGCACAGCTACCAAGGAAGATATAAAAAGACTTCAAATCATGCAAAACAAAGTCTTAAGGCTTATCACCCATGCTCACTTTTTTGTGAGCAATGCTACACTGCACTGTGACTTAAAACTGGACACTCTAGAAAGAGCAACCTGCATAAGATTCAACAGGAAATTCTTCGACGAAAGCTCTGAACTGTGACCATATGAGAAATTTTGATATCTTTACCTACGAAATATTGAATGAGGACTCCAAACTGCCGCCCACTTGCGGCCCACCTTATCAGGGACCCGAACTTCCCCACCTAGTGCCCACCTGTAAATGATGTACCCATAGTGTGTTAATTAGCATTCTTAATTTTGTATTTTACTCATTTATTGTACTGTGTATTTCTTAAATTCTCTAGTAGTTTATTCACATTCTACACTCATTTTATGACTCCCACTTAGTCACCTTACCTTTACCCCGTTTACTTGCTTGTGAGCTCTTGCGTTGCTGGTCTTCCTATTCTTTATCCGTCTTTCTCCTCCTTACTGCGGACATTATGTGAAGATAGTTCTATGTTATTGTGCCCATCCGGCATAAATTTGATTGAGCCAGATAAACTACTGATCTCAGTGGTATTCTGGCTATAAGTTATCAGTCAGTCAGTCAGGACAGTGGTTAAAAGCATTCTTCTGCAAGTGACAGACAGTGGGAGAAAACTGGACGAGATGTCATTTTAGAAGAATGGACTATATAACCAAAATTCCTATCCACACTCTGATAAACAGTACATTATCTGTTCATCCAGGGCCTAAATTTAGCCAATGCTCGGCTTATTTCTTAAGAAATTGCAATTTCAGCCACAGGCTCTAAAAAAAAGACGATGTCTGACAATGGCGGTATTTTATTTTATTACTTAGCTATTCATCATTAATTTAAGAATTAATTAAATTTTCATTTGTATTTACATTTTTATTGAATTTTAAGAATAATTATTTAAAATTCTAGTTGCTAATTATTTTATTGCTGCAATAGTTTTTTTTTTTTTTTTTTTTTTTTTCCCTTTCGTGATTGCCTTACGTAGGGCCCAAGCACTTTTACTTTTAAAAATTAAGCCCTGACTACAACCAACGATTGAGAAAATACAAGCCAAGTAAGGAAAATGGATATATATGTGTGTGTACTTTACATTAAATTATAATTTATTTTTAAAAAATACATATATATTTACGTTTGGTAGCACTGTCGATTGCAATATAAAAGGGAGGTGCACATCTAGATATTAGAGCGGTCCCATATACAAAATTTCAATGTTCTGTAACTATTCGTTTTTGAGTTACGCAAAACGATTTTGAGTTGGGGGTGTGAGAATAAACTCATTGCTCAAACTTATGATGGGGCGGCAGTCATGGCAGGAGCGTTGAATTGGACGCAGAAAAAAGTAAAAGACATTTTCCCAGAAGCTATGTTTTTGCATTGCTGTGCACATGTACTTAATTTAGTTCTGTTGCAATCTGTATTGTTTATAAAAGATTGTAAATTATTTTTTGCAAAAATTTCTGGCATTGCCTCATTTTTTTCGGTGTCTACAAAAAGAAATCATGTTTTAAATTAAATTATTAAAAGAAAATTTCCAAAATTAGCTACAACATGTTTGAACTATTCATCTCGTTTGGTAAATACCATAAAAAGCGAAAGGCAAGGCCTATCTGATTTATTTGAAAATATTATTGAGAATCCAGAAGGCTGAGATAATGGTTCAATTAATATTGCAAAGAGTTATCAAATGTTTTTGGAAGAATTTAACTGTAATTTTCTCCTAAATATTTTTGACAAAGTGTTTAGTTATACTGATGTTCTATTTGATATTTTACAAAAAACTAACTTAGATATAGCATATTCTAGTCAAAAAGTAGAGGAAGTAAAAGATGCAATTCAAAATATGCAAACTTCTGTTGCATTTGATGAAGTTTATGAAAAGACTATTTCTGTACTATATTCTGTCTATTTCTTTCAAATTAAAAAAAAATATCATGTAAATTTACAAAACTCAAGTGCAGACCAAGACTCTTATAATTATGATTTAAATATTTACATTACCATGTTCAATGGCAAATGCAGAAAAAAAAAAAATTCATTTCGTTTTTACATTTTTAAAATTTCGTAAAATAATTACATAGATTTATTGCATGTTTTTCGAAGAATTTGTTAATATTAAATAATGTTTTGCAATACTTACATCAAAATGTTGGAATGGTTTCAGACATGTTTTAATTAAATTTTATTTGAATTTTATAAATAATGAATGATATATTCTTTAACTAAAAGAAATTATGCGAAAATTTATCAATGAAAATGTTTTTAAAAAACTATTAGTGTCTGATGCAATTTTTAAATGCATATATCAGTAATATAATGATTTGAATGATTTACAGCATATTTAAGTATTAAAAAATTTATTAAAAACAACATTGAAAGTAGAAATTTCAAATTAGCAATTTATCTCTTCATCAATTAACAGAAAAAGAAAGTTCAGCTTATTAACATAGACCGAGAACTTATTTTTATAGCTCTGCAAAGAATTTAAAAAAAAATGTAATACAACCAGAGAATTTGTTACTTATTATATCAAAACATGCATAAGATCATCTGATTTTGAAAAAAGTTTAGCATAAAGATAATAGGATTAGACGTATGGATTTTGTATAGAAATGAATAATAAAAAGTTAAAGAAGTGTTTAATTTACATTTTTATGGTTTTATTATTGTTGTTGTTGTTCTCTGCACACAAAGCATGAAAACCTACTGCACGCCACTGAGTGGTACTATATTATTGTTTAAATTTGAAAGACAAATATCTTACTCTCTGTTGAATAACAATGAATTGCATTTAAACTGCTGAGTTTGTTAATCAAAATTTCATTAAGTTCATACAAAGCATAAAATAAATAAAAAGCATATTCAAATTTTAGTTTTCAAGCTGCATAAATTTGGGTGTGGGAGTCTATGTGTGTTCAAAATTTGATTGCCCATTTTTCCACATTGCAAGAAACATGCATACATGCAGCTTCTTTATTATTTAATAGAAACTGGTTACTTGTTGGGGAAATTCCAATTTAAGATATTCTCAGAATCTTGCTTATGTGAAAGAAAAATTAAAAGTTTCATGTGAGTGTAAAACTGATAAAAATTATTTAAAATATAAATTCCTTAAACCATAGTATTTGAAATTAAGTACTGATTAGTTACTATTGACCTTTTCAGAGTTGCAAAAATGTTTTAATAATTGTAGTTTGTATTGGATGTTTTACAGGATTCCAAAGATTCGTATACAAGAAAAAATTCTAGGAAATGCTGCTCGTTTATTGGAAGCAAAACAAAGAGGATTCGTTTGTTTTTTTACTGGATGTGTGGAATCAAATAATGGTATATTGCCTATTAAAATTTTTTATTTCTGTAAATTTTATAATAATTAATGTATAAATGATACAAGTCTTGCGTATATTTTGTTCCCGATACTTTGCTAAAGAAATCAAATTTTGATAATTGGTGGGCAAATTTCTAAATGACAATATATATTAGGTAATAATTTTCAGTTTATTAGTTTTCAGTATTTTAAAAGACTTATTTAATTCTTTTGAAAACTATTCATTATTTTTATATTACTTGCAGATTTATAGTCATTCAATAAATATTTATAATAGGCTTTAGAAAGAGCCTAGCTACCTTTTATTTGTATATTTATTTATTTATTTTGTGTGTGTTTGTTTGCTTATTTGTTCATTCATCCGTCCATCCAATCATCCATCATGAATAATGTGAATGTAGAACAGTTTTATGTAGAAATCTCTGCAGAGACATCCATTCTAAGGCAAGAATCCTCACATCCTTTGTGATAATAAATTGCACATCTGTGTATCTTTATTGGCAATATTTGCTTGATAATTTATTTGAGTACTTGGGTGTTAGCCAGGCACAGGTAATGAAAAACACAAATGGCACTAGTACAAATTAAGTTCTTAAATCAGCAAACCTATCAAAAGCAACCTCAAAAAAAAAAAAAAAAAAGCAAAAAAAAAAAAAACTGCTTATAAGGGATTTTCAATAAGTTTCAAGCCTAAGTAGGATGTAAAATTTGTAAGATAATGAAATGTTATGAAATAATTGCATCATCCTTTGGAAATGCAAAAGGAAAGCACATACAAAAAGTGTTATTGATTTTAAAAGGCTTATAAGGTATTTCTCCCACCTTCTCAGCATGCCTTCATGGTGTAATGGCCAGCACACTCGGCACGTATTTGAGAGGTTTGAGTCCTGGCGAGGGCATTGCACATTTTTCATGTCTCCTGCTTCGAAATAATCTAATGTCTCTGCAGGCTGTTAAATGTTAAGCAGTGGTGCCTCTTAGTATTGAAAATTTTAATCACCAAATGGCATTCAATTTCTAGAAGGCATAACACCAACAAATATCCACACACACATGCTTGCAATCTATGGTGATACAGCATCTTCCTGTGCCACTATCAAAAAGCAAATTGCCATGTTTAGGCTGAAGAGAGACTCGTTCAAAGATAATCGCACTGCAGTTACTGCTTGTCACACTTTATGAAAAATGGACAAATGGCAAGTTCTCAGATTAGAAAGGAAAAAAAAATCATCAGTTTTGAATCAGTTAAAAAAAAAATCTTGCCAGAAAAGCTGGGTACATTCAAGGTCTGAGCGAGATGGATACCCAGAATATTGATGCCAGAAATGAGAAAACTTCCAGTTAAATCTTCTCAAAAAAAAAAAACTCTCCATCATAAACACTGATAAAAATGTTCATTTTCAGTTAGAGACAGACAATGAATCATGAATTCATCACTTTAACCCTGAAATAAAACAATAATCTGGTATAAAAACACAATGGATATCTCTGACTTCATAAAATTAGAATCTGGAAATCTGCTTTGAAGATTTTGGGCATTGCTTCTTGATATAAAGAATAGCTGCTTATTGATTATAAGCCACATACTAACATAAGAATAAATATTTTTTGTGCTAACTTGTTGACTTAGATTCAATAAGCCATAAATGTGAAATGATGTGGCAATGTTGTTTTCTTATGTCATGAAAAACAAATTTCTTCTTGGTGCCAAATGGGTGTCATAGTTGGTTTGCTTTGAAAGGTTCCATAATTGGCTATTTTCCCCCATTCCAAACTTGATATATTCAGAGGTGAATTTTCATATCTTGATAAAATTTTAGGGACTTTTTATGTCTGTATTCTCAAAATTCAGTTCAAAAAGTATTAAATATTTAAAGCATTTAATTTTAGCTTTTAAAATACAAGGTTCACCTACTAATTAGGTAATTTTTTTTTATTTTATATTTAAAAAATATATAATTTAGATTTTAGGAAATCTGAGATATTTTTCTATATTTTTAATTGATTTCTTGTTTCGGATGTACTTTTTGTAATGGATTTTTGCCACTGACCTTATGATTTTGTTATAAACGTATTCAATTACATTTATATTTATGTGTTAGACATGTATGTATAAGTATCATATATCTGGAAATTATTCATAAATTATATTACGTGGACTTTTTATAATTCATATGAATTTAATGTTTATATAACTGAACATTGCATATTCAAACCATTCAGAATAATTTTTAATCCTGAAGAGAATGGCGCATGTTTTAAAATGCATCTACCATGTTTATCGTATTAAAATTTAGGTTAGAATATTGCTGAATTTCATTGTTTAGTAAATTTTTAATTGTCTTGTGCATCAGTTTTTATCATCGCTTTAATTGCTGCAAAATTCTCAAATCAAAAATATGAAAATGCTTTCTTATTTAAGCTGATTACATTATTCAATTTAAAGATATTTAATTTTGATCAGTTACATTGCTTATTTATTTATATTTGAATAAATTGTTTTTGAAATGCTGAAATAAGTTTTAAAGCTAATCACAAAATGATATATAGTCTCAGATGCTTAGTGTGATATTATGCTACTATACTCTTATATCAAAGGATATGATGTGTTTTATACGAAGATATATTGCATCCATACATCAAATTAAATCCAAAAAAATATAAGAACGAAAAAGAAAATTTAAAAACTATATTTTCAAGAATATCAAGTAGTTGTATAAATATTTGCAATCGTGAATAAAAACCATGAAAGGAGCTGTATTGAAATTATGACTATGTAAAGCTTTCTTTATCAATCTGTGTATCTTTTATTTGATAATTAGAAATTCCAGATAAAAATTTTATGTAATGCAGACATATTTGGCTCAATTCGTTAATTCGAAGCTAAAGATTTACAACAGAATTCTTCCTAGGCTTTATTGTAAATTAGTTTGTAATGAAACTGTGACACCCAGATCGTAAAGTGGTTAGGGTAGCCTACTGCGATACCAAAGGGCCCGGGTTCGAATCCCAGAAAAGGCATAGATGTAAATTGTCTGTCCCTTCATAGGAGGTAATGGTGGTTGCCTATTAGGTGCCCCCATAATAAAATGACCACCACTTTTAGCCTTTGTAATGACAAAAGCCTAAAAATGGCTAGTGTCTGCTGATTTAAAAAAAAAAAAAAAAAAAGAGAAAGAAAGAAAGAAACTCTATGAGCTCCATGCAGAATATCTTAATAAAAAATAATAATTTTTTTTTTCTTTCTAATAGGTTTTTTGAATAGGCTGATGGTTTCATTAAATCATTTATCAGAAGTACCTGTTCAGTCAAGCGATGGAAAAATTTGTGTTCCTGTTCTTGTAAGTAATTATGACTGAAATATATTGAATCCCTTGGAAGCTCCTGTATATGCATCTGACCATGTAATTTCTTATATGTGTGCAATATGTGTCAATGCTGAATAATTTTGAGGAGCAGTTTGTACAAAATTGGTGAAGTAAAAATATAGCCTAAGCTTGTTATAAGATAGTCAGAGTTTGGAAGTTATTTATTTTTGCTTAAATGCTTATAAAGTAACAAACAAAAAAATTGCAGATTGAAAAAGTAATTATGTAAGTATATAAACATATTTTGCAAGCATTCATGTGAGTATCCTTGTTCATTGCACACATCCGTATAATGACAATATTTTCTTACGACAGCCAGGTCAACTCTGTGATTCAGTTATGTTAATAGATAAAAGTAATAACTGTGTTTATTTTCTTATGTTAGTAATCACTTTGTTCTTGATGCTGTCCCAAAGGAAGCAAGCCACCAATGTATTTAATCAGCAGATTAAAGAAAAAAAGTGTCATTGATTAAAATCGGATGTTCAGCCCCTTTCCCCCCTCCCAAAAATGATGGAAAAATGGGTTATCAAAGCTTAAAATAATCTATAATTCTTTTAAAGGGATTTTTATTACTCAGAATTTTAAAAAAGGAAGCTTTTTAAAGAAGTAAAATTGTTTAAAATATTAAAAAAAACAACAATAGAATGCAAGGAAGTGTGTCACTTACATATCCATCTAGTCTCAAGCATAAATCTGATGATGAGTGCAGTAATTCAAAATACATGGTGTATGTTCTATGTAAATATGTATCGTATGTTGTGAAAAAAACATCTTTTTAAAAACTTAAATAGAAAATAGATCATCAAGTAGGTAAAATTTTTTATGCTATAAATGCATTATTTCATTTAAAAAAAAAAAACTCATTTTATGAACTGAACAGAGATAAAAGCCCTCGTTTAAATGTGACTTAAGGTAAATATTAAATGCTTATGAAAGTAAGTGTGAGAATATGAGAATAAGTAGAGAAATACAGTAATGTTTTAATTAATCAAACCTTATGTATGATGTGTGACGTTTGATCTATAATATCCATAATCAACCTATAGTCTGTCATATATGTTTGTATAATAGATGGAACTGTACTTTAGGTGAAATTATTGATACATTACTTGAAAGTAAAAATTTATTCATCTTTGCTAATGATGTCATTAAAAAAGTTGGAAACAAATTTAAATGGGAAATTTTTAGATTTGTAATCGATAATATAGCATTTATGGCAACAATAAAAAAATTAGAAAACAATTTTCAGCAAACATTTATCACATATACATAACCTATTAGCCAAACATTTACATATATAACTAATGTTACTGAGCATGTCATTCAGGCTGTAAAATTTTAAAATCATTAGCTTCTTGGAGCCAAATTTAATGAACTCATTTAAATCTGAAGAGTATATTACAACTCGGTGTGCCACTCCCTTAAAAATTATATAAAGAATTAGCCAATTTTCATGTAAACTGGAGAAAAGAATTGGGATGTCAAATAGAAAAATATTCTTTCAAAAGTTCTTAATATGACAGTCAAATGAAATGTAGAAAAGCCTATACTTTGTTTATGGAGCTAATTATGCTTCATACAAAGCTAATTACCCTTTAAATTAAATCAGAAGTTTGATAACAGCATTATTAAAGTTTAGAAAGAACATTAAAACAGCTTCAGAAATCTTGATAAAACATGCATAAAATTATTTAAAATACGATATGAACAAACACCATCATGATCTCATTTTTAGCATTTGATTTATTTTATGATTAAAATAGAAAACTGAAGCTTTATTTGAAACTGAACGGGTTCCGACTTTGGAATACACAAAAGAAAAAAAGAAAAATATGCAGAAACTGCATCTTTCAGCATTACATTTAAATTTATAGTTTGTGTTCCACCTTTCTGCAGAACCCTGTTTGAAAATGAAGCTGTCAAGTTGCTGACCTCACTTGAGCAATAAAAATTAATAGTTTTGAAAAAAAAAAAATATGCATATGAGAAAAGGAACTGGATAAAATTGAAATGTTAAGCTCAGCAAAACCTTCAATAGGGATTGAAAGGTTTCCTCTTTTGAAATTGGATGCTACAGACTGAGGAATCAGGTTCAAAAGGCAGCAAAAGTTTTTTCTTTTATTTAAGGCATTTACTGGAAATGGCAGTAATGCTGATATAATGCAGTAAATTGTTTTGAAAAAGTTATGTAGATGCCGCTTGTAAGTAACATTCATATGATTATATTTTATTCTGATTATTTATTCATGCAAGAATCCCCCCTCCCCACGTTTGTGTCTCAAAATTCAGTACTTAAGTATTAGCCCACCGACCATGAAACATTCAACCAGTGTGACTTAACTTTACCTACGGATAAGCATCATGTAAATTCAATTTCTTGATAAAGCACATTTTATTTTTATGAGTAAGGATATTAAATAGCTGTTATTGTTTCAATTTTTCTTACATTTTGAAAACAAGTAATTAAAACGTGCCTTCTACAAAACAGCAAGATGTGGATTATTTTCAAAGGTATGGGATCCTATCCTAAAAAAGTGGTACTTGCATATTATAAAAACCACCTTAGTTGCCAGATTTTCAGAATGTACCAAACTCTAGAACCATGTGCAGACCCATTCTTCAGACAACTATGCTCATAAAAATCCTTCAGCAATGTCACCAATTTTAGTTTACAGTGTCACCAATTACAAGTTTCAATGGGTTTTATGGACTAATTGTGACATTTTTTGCTTTACATTCGATACTAAAATATACACTCGTGGAATGTGTCAGTGTAGAAGGAAATGAAATAAACTTTCTGCAGGAATACAGTATTTTGTTGCAAAGTTGCTAAAGAGAATAATGATAAAATGTATTGGTAGATAGCTAGAGCAATACAGGGATTTTGCACAATGCTGAGTGCAAGTCTAATGTTTTTTTAAAGTGAAAACAGATCAATGTGTACATAGGCAGAAGAATTTCAAAAAGGAAAAAGGTAAGCATTTTTTTAAATGTATTGTATACTTCTTCTTTAATAATTAAAATTAGTATTGTAATTTACTAAAGTGTGTTTTCTTTTGATATGTTGACAATGTTTGCTGACTTACAATAAATTTCATTAGTTTGCAAACCATTTTTTTTTTTTTAAATGTTGAAATCTAGTGCCATCTTGCACCTGATAAGTAACTTTTACCTTTACATCAGTAAAAGCACAATAAATTGTTCCAAGTTGTTTTCAGTATTAAATAAGTACCAAAATAAAAGCGTATTAGTTAGCACAATAGGGTACTTTATTTGAAACTGGATAAATCATTGCAATGCAACATTTCTGACTGCACTCCAGTGCATTTACATCTAGTCAAGAAAATTAACATCTGTCAAGTGGGTAAAATGAACAGCTGGATATGGCTGACAAAAAAATAATAGATTTGAAACTGGAACAATTATGTGCAAGAAGTTTTTACTCATAGTGTTCAATGCAGACCTTCCAATAAAATCAGAGGGCCTAACAAGATTGTAGAAATTGATGAAAGCCTTTTTATGAAGATAAAAAATTAAGTGGATGAAATACTGATTGTTTATTAATTAAAGAGCTGTCCGTTCTTTCAGAACCATGCAGGAACGATTAGCACAATTTAGGAGGAATCTCCATTAACTTTCATGATTCGGTGATAGCCAGCTCTCATGATCGATGTGATAATACATAAATACTTAGTATTCTACATGTAAAGTTTACATTTGTGTGATTAGCGAATTTACAAGTTACTGGTAAAAAGCTGCCAAGATATTTCTTTGTATTTTATGCTGCTTATTAATAAAATTATATACAATTTATATTACCTTTAACCCTCTGAGCGTTATGACCGGCTTTATCCGGTCATCAGAAGTTTTGCCACTTGGCATATATTAGCTTATAATTTAAGATATTTTGCTTTCTTTCTTTAGTAATGTAAACATCATCTTAGTGAATCTAAGTTTATGAAATATAGACTAAAATAAGTAATTGTACAAACTCAATTAATAAATGCTGTTTAAATACCAGTCTTCATGACAGATCTAAAACCTTGCACTTCTCAGAGAATGGAGTAACTGTTTAATAAGTTAATGTATAAAAAAGTCAATAATATCTGATTGAAATTTTAAAAAAGTCGCATTTAAATTTGAAAAAAAAATTGTTTGCACCCTGAAAGGAAGCAATCGTACAGTCTTTAGGGAAACTGTGCAAGCTAATAGTAGGAAATTAATTCCTCTCTAATTAACCTGTTCATTCTGTCCATATGGACATTTTTTCCCCCTTTATAACATTATTTAAAACTGCTTCTATCATCATCCAATGTTTCATGTGTAATATATTTTTTTACACGAGCTTTAAAAGCCATTTTGGCCAGATTAAACCATACAGTTATTTTGATACATGCATTCCTCGTAACCTTTTTTCAGACATAGTCATAGAATCTTAATTTTTATACTATTATTTTTTCATTATTATATTGTGTATTATTATTTCACATTATTGAATTATTATTTTTCGTAGAATTTTTATAATTTTATATTAAAATGCTGATTAAGTCTTTTATGTGCCTTTTATAGTTTTCTATGTAACCCATTCTATTATGCCAGAAACACTGCTATTTCTATTCATTTGGAAATCAAAATTTTTTTAAGTTGCTTTGCTTTGAGAATCTGTCAAATAACATCTCTCTGCATTCATTATTTTCAGTTTAAAAATGTTTTGTGTATAATTTTAGCTTTGCTGGAAGGACAAAGAACCAAGTGAATGGAAGAAAGATGACTATTTTAGCGATGTAGAGGTATTTTGAAGTTCTTGTGAAGGATAAATTTTGTTTACATCGCTTAATTCATATGTTCATTCTAAACATTTACTTTGAAAAATATTAGCAGGTACAAGATAAAAAATATTAATAGAAGTTAAAATAAATTCTTGATGAAAGTAAAACATGACATGACTATTAGAAATTATTATGACATGACTATTAGAAAAATATCTATTTTAATGGAATATAAGCATATTTATTGCATAAAACAGAAAGGGAAAAGTTTATAAATCCATTATATATATATAGAGAGAGAGATAATTAAGTTAAATTATAAAATGATAACATTATATAATAGTGTAATATTATTAAAAACAATATAATTTAGCTCTTGATTAAAATTATATTTAAATAATATCTTGTTGTAATGAAAGTTTTCTACCAAAAAAACATTCTTATTAAAGTTAGAAGAGAAAAACATAAAAGCAGTACGTTTAGTGCAGGTAGTAATCACCATCTAAATCTATGATTTTCTGCCAACATTTTGGTAGTTTTTCAAAGCCTTTGGCACAGAAACGTGGTGGCCATGAGTCCAAAAACACATATACCTCATTTTGAACGTCCAGTGCAAAATGGAAGATAGCACCAGCAAAATATAGCTCCAGGTATGAAAAAAGATAGAAGGCTGAAGAGTGATGTTGGGGCTATATGCCTATATGCTGGGCATTGCAAAAGATCCCTTTCAAGTTCATACAGAGTCCAGCCGGTGAACACAGACACATGTGGTCTTGCATTTATCTTGATAGAACATCACTTTTTTATGCCAGAACTCAGATCATTGCTTTTCCCTGGCAGCAGCATTTCGCTCTATACCTTACTGTCAAGGGTTTTATCTTTTTCCAAATACTCTTTGTGAATAATACCACAGCAATCCCACGAGATACAAAACATGATCATTTTGTTAGTCAAGTTGCGCTCTGCGATGTTGCTGATGTGCTCACCGGGCACAGGCCAATCCTCTTTTCGTTCTCCGTTGTTGAAGTGAATCCACTTTTCATCACAAGTGATGACCCAATCTAGAATTTTGTCCTTGCGTTTGTTTGAGCAGATCAGTGCAGGCTCAAACACATCTGTCCTTATCTGCTTGTGTTAACTCATGCGGCACCAAGCAACTGAACTTTAAGTTTATGCAATGCCTAGCATGACTAATGGACATGGTATTAATGCTTAACTCCTTAGCAAGCTCTCCAGTAGTTGCATACTCATCTTCTTCCACAAGTTCTCGCAAGCAGACCTCATCAACATTAATAGGCTAGCCACAGTGCTGTATTTCTTGAATTCACAGTCCTTGTTTTTGAAAGTTTGGTACCAAACCTTCACAGTGTCATGTGATACAACATTAGTACCTAAAGCTATACACAGGGTTTGGTGGCATTCTGTAGCTGACTTTTTGCAACAGAACTGGAGGTAAATGATGATTCTAATCTGGTAGCATGATAGTTCAATTTTAGACACCTTGTACTTAATATATTTTTTTACAAAATTTACAACACAGTGTTCTAAAGCAAGTCTGTTTCTTTGAAATGCCAAAAATCGTTTGACAAAATATGATTAAACATGCCAACGGGAACTGTTTGCACAGGCGATATTTGCGATGGTTTGAAATTTTCGTTAAAACCTGGTATACAGGATGGTTATAATTAAACTTCCACTTTAAAATGGACATAACATTAAAACTACTGGACCAAATGTTACCAAACTTGGTAATCGTGTAAAGGAGGTCATGGGAATTTATTCTCTATAAAAAAAAAAGTTAAAAAACTTACCACCAGGGGGGAAATGGCGCTGTATGCAATATTGTTAAACGAAATAAGGTTCGGATTCTAACTTAACTTTTTGTTGACCTAAACAAAATTACCATTTAAAGGTGTTAATGACGATATCCCTCTGTAAAAACCAAAAATTAGCAATTAGAAAATGTGAGATCACAAATGACTCAAAAAATTGTAAGCATTCCGAAAATCGTTTTCGTACATATCGCGAATTTTTGATTTTTGAAGCCTGAATTTGGCCCTAAGACATGAAGATATTGGTTCAAAACATTTTTAATCATTTCTAAAACAAAACTGTTTGTGGGGTTATGCAAAATTGCATTGGCTTATGGCAGCACTGTTTATGGGGATAATCTAAACAATTTGTCGGAACTGAAAGATGTGGTACACCGACATGTCTGTAATATTTCTCCTGATATGCTAAGAGCTGCTGTTGAGAATGCAGTAATATGATTTAACTTGCTTTCAGGAAATTGTGAATACCACGTTGAACCTGCTTTGTAATATGTTTCAGAAACGATTAAACACATAATAAATGTATGTCTTCATGTCTTATTTCATTTAACAGTATTGCATACAGCATCATTTAACCCCTGGTAGTGAGTTTTTGAACTTTTTTTTTTTTTTTTTTTTTTTTTTTCTGCAGAAAATAAATTCCCATAACCTTCTTTATAGGAATACCAAGTTTGATAATATTTGGTCCAGTAGTCTTTCTTTTATGACCATTTCAAAGTGGAATTTTAATTATAAACCACCCTTTATATACTTATAATATTATTATAATTAATAATACTCAACAATTATACTTTATATATAGTATAATGTTTAGTTATTGAAATAAATTTTCTTTTCACGAAGTTTGAGAAGTACTCCAGTCTTTAAAATTAGACCAAATTCGATCTTAAACTGGCAGTGATTTTTTTTTCTTTTTTTTTAAAAAAGCTATTTGTATTTCCTAGGATTTGCTTGTCTTTTCTCAATAATATTTATGAATTGCATCAGAATTTTTTGGAAGTTTCAAATATATTATGTATTTGTTTGAATGCAAATGCAAGATTAAAGTTCTTGTGCGTTAAAGACAATCTTTTTGTTCAGATTCATAAAAGCATTTTGAAATTCAGTCATTTGCTAATTAAAGTTATGAAAAATGTCAGCAAGCAATTATGTAAAGCTAAATTAACCATTTACCTAAACTATGTTTAGAAATTTGAACTACGTTTAGAAAAATTTGATTCTAGATCTAATTTTAAGCAAATGGGCATCAGATGTTAAGTAGAAACCAAGATTTTTTGTCACTGACATGAAAAAAATTTTTGCTTGAACATTGTAAAATTTTATATTTTTCCCCTTAACAATCGACTTTTTGGTGTGGTTTTCTTATTCAACAAATAATATTTTCATTGTTGTTTTGACAGAAAATATAAAAAATGTCAAATAAATATATCAAATATTTATGTATATGTATGTGTGTGTAACTCAATGACTCAGAAATACTTGCATTGGATTGGCAATGTTTTAAATGGATGGATGACACTTGAAGACAGACATAGCCTTTTAACATATAATTTTGTTTCCTGATAACTAATTCTTAGGTCACATATTCTTTTTCATTATGGGTTTGTCATGTGCCTCAAAATTTTATGCACCTTATGTTTTGATAAAACTGGATAATAATGAACAGAAGCTAAGCGACAAAAAAGGAGTATGCATCAGCAAAGCGGCTAGATGTATATAGTAAAATATTTCTTTAATCTGATTGGCTGAGAGCTTACCATATTGATGATGGATTACATAAGATGGAGCTGGATTGCATAAACAAACATTAAACAGATTAATTTTGAAAAGATGCTGTACAGTAAAATTATTATAAATAATTTCTAATTTTACAACAGAAAGGGAAGGTGACCAAATTAAAATTGGAAATAAAAAGGACTATTACCAAATTAAAGTTAATAGTTTTCTTTCAGATTTATATCTCACATATATTTATATTATGCATATATTATTTTATATCTTATATATATGTAGGATATAACAAAATACATTAGCTGCTTTAAAAAAATAATTGGCGACCTCAAAATTAACATTCTAAATTTGGTGCTCTCTCCCTAAATTCATCTGTTCTCCCAAATTCGAGATCTTTTGATGTTATATAACACTACTAACTAACTAATCATAGATTAGCTGTATTTGTACATTAAACTTGGTATAAATGCTCTGGCAAGCTAACTGTGTCACTCTTTTTCTAGCTTCTATTGGTGGATATAATCATTATGTAAAACAATTATTAACTGCAGTTAGCTTGCCAGAGCATTTATACCAAGTTTAATGTACAAATACAGCTAATCTATGACTGGTTTGTTAGTAGCATTACATAACATCAAAAGATCTTGAATTTAGGGGGAGAGTACCAAATTTAGAATTTAATTTTTTGGCTGCCAATTATTTTTTTAAAGCAGTTATTGTATTTTGTTATATTTTACGTGTATATATATGTGTGTGAACTTTAATTTATACTGATTTCTAAACTGCATTTGATTTCTGTCAATTGTATAGAGCCCTTTTTTTATCAATTTGTAATAAATTGCACAAAATGCATAAATTTGTATTTTATGCATGTCTTACAGAACAGTTAATAATCTGTGAATTTATATTAACTTTTAAAATAAATATTTCTTGTTTTAGGAAATCTTCACATTCTGTAGCACTGGATACAAGATTGACCATAGCAAGCTTTTCAAGTTGCGGATAATCTGTTCATTCTTTGGAATTAGGTGTGACATCCAGGTAGAAATGTCTACACTGTCAACAGCTTTCAAACTTATTCCTATTAAACCAGTATATATAATTGAATCAGAATTGACTAGACAAGCTTCATTAATTCATTCACCTGTTTATACAACAGGGTATGTAACAATTATTTTTGATAATGTATGAGTTTCTTTAAATAAATAAATTAAATTATTCAATTAAAGCAAAGTAAAATGTTTAATCTATGTTTATCTTTCTGTTGTTCATTTAACAAATCTGTAAATTCTTATGTATTATAAAGAATTAGGTTAAAAGCCTATTTTTCATGATCCCTTTATTTTTTGGTCAGATATTGTATTGCAGCATTTGGCGTACAATCCCGTATATTATTCTTATAAAGTTTTTGAGAAAACGCTTGGTCGCAACATTTGGCACACAATCCTGTATATTATTCTTACAAAGGTGTCGAGAAAATGTTTGGATGTTTCCTTTGAATATTGTGTCCTGGTTTTACTTATAAATACTGTGCCATAACTATTCTCTTTAGAACTTAGTGTTGGTACATCGTGCTTTCTTTTGTATTGTTTGATTGCATGTTTTTTGAGAAATTCTTTAGCCAGTGAAATCGTATGTTAGAGTGAGGCAGTGAATTCTTGTTATATCATTTCAAATGTTTCTATTAGGAAATATAATTCATTATTTGACAATATCTCGTTGAGCAGAGCATTCTTTTTAGCTAGGAACAATGTGAAATATGCACAATACTTACGTACTTTCCCCTTGACAATGGAATTTGGCTCTCATCAGTCGTAAAATTTAGTAGAGATCTTGCAAAATCTGCACCGATCATTCCGATGGATTTTGAAGGTAGTCTATCATTTAGGTAGATAATCACAAATCACTTTTAATTTAATTATATAATCAACAAATACAAATTATAGATGCAGAATGTAAAAAACTTAAATAAAAATGAGATCAGGCTTTGAAATTATCTCACAAAGAAATACATTTAATCTTGCAGCAGCCATTCTGGTGGCCAAAATCGTTAATGCCATTCAAAATAGCAACACAATTCTCATTGTCTGCGTGAACTCACCACCACATAAATTGAACTAAATATGAATCTTAAGTTGTATCAGCCATGTTTTTATTTCGCCAAACCCCAGACTCTTTCAATGTTTTGAGTGTATGTGTCTGTTCAAGATCTACAAAATTATATTGAATGATTAAAATGTTCAAATCCTGCAACTTGAAATTCATTAATTTTTCCAGGCCTTTCTACAATCCAAAACAATTATTAATAAAAAAAGGAAATCAATAGAATATTTTCACTCCAGCATATCAAGAATTATTCAGATTTAGATAAAACCAAAGTAAAGATCTTATGAGTGGGCTGTGACATACATTATTGGTGATAATTTATGTTCGTTGAAATGGTCGATGGTAAAATACATGCCATAATATCCCAGCATATAATACAAAAAATAAGATCAAAATTTACAGATGTGCATTATATGCTGGGTGTAAAATTGATAGATATAAAAATAAGGAAAAGATGAGCATACAAAAATTATATTTATACATGTGCCTAAATGTTGTTTACTTAAAAGAAATGTCTTCCTTATGGACTTAAAAAATTTTTTGCCATTAGATGGGATCTGAACTTGCCCCAATCTAAAAGACTTTCTGGGTTCTTTAAGGCACCAGATGCTTTTGCCAAACATTTATTATCAACAATTTTACAAAGTTCTCTTCCTTCCATCCTTTCTCATGAAATTAAATTTTGGCATCTTTTAAAAATAAGCATGGATTTTAATTTTGTACTGTCCGTTGAGCATGAAAGCACTATACTGAGGTGAGATATTTTGTGATCTGTTGTTTTTATGTGAACCATTGTTGTTCTCTTCACATCAATTATGTTATTTCCTGGTATATCAAGCATTACTGGAGTTTCATCCATATTTTCAATATATGACAGTAGATAATTTTTTTGGCTTTATAGATCAATAACATACTCCTGGAAACTTATTAATATGTTGTTCAAATCTTTCGAAAGCTTAAATGAAGCTTTTTTTTTTTTTTTTTTAAACTAAATTATTTGGTTCTGTAGATCGACTTTACCAACTCAGAGTTGTATTAAAGTTTTCACTTTTATTTGTATCTTTTTTTGCCTAATTTAAGGCAAATAAACATAGGCTGTTTCTTGTTAAAATCAATCCATTCTAATGATTTTCTAGGACCCAATTCACAACACTGTCTTCTAGGATAAACCATTTTGTTACTCTTTTATTCTAAGCACATTTATTCTTTGGCATATTGTGATTCCATTTTTCTTTCACTCAGTTATGGAGCTTTCATCAGCAACAAACATCCTTACTGCAGCATGATTTCTTTTTTCCTTTTTGCAAATTGAATGATTTTGTATTTGAAACCAGCACTGTGGTTGTTTCATTTGGCAGTAGCCATATTTACTACTGAAAGGAATACTAGGTCAACTGCATTTCAACTAAATCAAATGCAATTTACTAAAACGTTCATCTTAATTCAGAAAAATTATAAGTCAAAAGTCGTTAATTCGGACACCCATAATCCGGAATGATCTATAATCCGGACCTCAAAGCTACAAACTTTCTGCTTTGAGGTCCTTTCGAATCGAAGTTCGAAATCTTACTAATCGAAAGTTCAAGCTGCTTTCTGCGTTGACGCATGCGCGTAAGACCTTTACCGCTGCTAATTTACGTGTGCGCGTGCGCAAAATACGTTTACGAATGCGCGTTTAATGTATAACGGACGGGATAAGCTAAGCTAAAATTATCTAATTATCTATTTCAGTTAATGTTGCAGATTGCGTTGTTCCTTAATCTTCTAATTGGATCCGGATTATTATTTTTTTGCAGACTGTTAGAGCAATTTTATAAAAGTAAGCTTGAACTTTCGATTATGTCAAATAGAATTTCCGATATATATTTACTAATATGTAAAGGATATACAAAGCGAAAGTATCTTTCGGAGTCCATTAAACAAAAAGTGGAATTGCTGCAAAAAATGGATAAAGTTTATCTAAACTTTGTTTATCTTTAACGCCATGGCGGCATGCATTGAATTGGAAGTTGATCTGTCAGCACTATCCTTATCTTAAGAGCAGATGTTTTTATTTTATTTGGCTTATAATTGCTTACTCAATGTAGTATTTCATCTCGTCTTTGATATGATTTAAATCAAATGCCTCGTCATTATAATTCGCTTCCGATAGCAAAGAAAGTGACAGAGGTTATTGAAAACAAAAAAATTTCTATTGACAAATTAGTCGGTATTCTCGACACAGCAATTATATCACTTGAACAGCGGAACTTTGTAACTGAACAAGAAATTATGTCTGTTTATAGAATTAAAGAGAATGTATTATAACATAAAAAACGAAGCAGCTTAAACAACTTACATTGAAAGAAATGTTTAATAAAGTAAACAAATAAATATTAAGCTTTTTTTTTTTTTTTTTTTTTTTTTGTAAATTTTGATACCTTTTAAATCATAATTGTTCTTTATTTCGTAAATTACGGTTTCATATTTTTAATTTTATAATTTCTGCATGCCATTTTACCAGATTTAAACTGATGATCTATAATCCGGAAAAATCGATAGTCCGGAATTGCCGAAGTCCCGACGAGTCCGGATTAACGACTTTTGACTGTATGTAAGCATATCAAACATTTAAAAATTTATCCATTCAGGTTTGTTGCATATTTCTTGTTAGTAGCTTTTCAACGGTGGTCTCCATCATATGACATTGCTTGTAACTTTCTGTATCTCCATCTTTAAGTCTGAGCGTTCTCAAAACTTTTAACGCTTGCTGAGACTCTGTTGCTTTTAGTTCAGGATCCAGATTTTTCATCTTTGGACTCATTTCTCTAATTCTTTCATTTTCTCTAATTCTTTTGTTTTCTCTGATAATGTTGATGATCTCTGCATCACTCTTTTCATAGCAAGTGTGGATATTTTCATTGATTCCCAAATGTTCAAGGAAGGTCTCATCATGCATTTCTTCATTGCGCCCCTGTCTTTTTTTTTTTTTTTTTTTTTTTTTTTTTTTTACGGTTTGAAATTGTTTGCAAAATTACTTCATCCAATGCATGGCATCTAAGAGGGAAAACAACAATTTCCTTATAAGAACAAACTGCTTCAGTCATATCAGTTTCATTGATAACATTTTGAACACCTTCTTTCCTGTAATGACTTTCCCCTTGATGATGAATGCTTTTATGATGCCCTTATCTAATGGCTTAGGAATGGAAGTTCGATTAGGAAGAAAGAAAAACTAATTTTATGTTCCTCAATGAGAGATCAGTTGGATGGGCAGAGCACAATTATCTAACAATGAGTGCCATTTTTTCTTGTTGAAGTTCTTTATCCCGCTTCGTAAGAAAGTAAAAAAGAAGAAAGTAAGAAACAAATAAAGAAGAAAGAATCATTGAAAATATTTGTTAGAAATTATTGTGAATCATTAAAATCATTAAAAATATTGCTTGCCATCCAAGCATTTTTATTGTAGTAATAAATCACTGACAAATGCTTGAGACCTTTTAGACAATAAGGGGTTTTGCTTGCACTGATGACTAATCCAAGTCTTTTTAACTGTTCTGTCCATATTACATGTTAAAACAGTAGCATGTTTAATTCTTTCTACCCACACTACCAACTGATAGCTCACTTTTAAACATTAAAGTGTACTGAGATAGGTCCTTACATTAGGCAGATAATCCTCGAGTGTTTTGCCTTAACCAAATAAACCAAATCTATATATATGCACATGTTATTTTGAGTATTTTTTAGGTGTTTTATTTAAAAAATAAATGTTCGTTAGCTCTCGGCTGCTTTTTATGGGTATTTTTAAAAGTTTTCTAAATGAAACTTCGTTTGCTCTTGGCAATTTTTTGTTTTGAGTATTTTCTAGATGTAATATTTCTTAAATAAATATTTTTTTAGTTTTAGGCAGCTTTTTATTATGAGTGTTTTTCTGTGCAATTTTTGGGCAATTATTTTGATTTGAAAAAAAGCTAATTTAAAACTATTTTGAGCCATCCTTATTTTAGGCTTTAAATACTGACCAAATGAATATTTTCATTTTGGAAAAAAATTTCTTCATTGCGGCCCCGTCTTTTTTTTTTTTTTTTTTTTTTTTTTTTTTTACGGTTTGAAATTGTTTGCAAAATTACTTCATCCGATGCATGGCATCTAAGAGGGAAAACAACAATTTCCTTATAAGAACAAACTGCTTCAGTCATATCAGTTTCATTGATAACATTTTGAACACCTTCTTTCCTGTAATGACTTTCCCCTGATGATGAATGCTTTTATGATGCCCTTATCTAATGGCTTAGGATGGAAGTTCGATTAGGAGAAAGAAAAACTAATTTTTATGTTCCTCAATGAGAGATCAGTTGGATGGGCAGAGCACAATTATCTAACATGAGTGCCATTTTTTTCTTGTTGAAGTTCTTTATCTTTCTTTATCCCGCTTCGTAAGAAAGTAAAAGAAGAAAGTAAGAAACAATAAGAGAAAGAATCATTGAACATATTTGTTAGAAAATTATTGTGAATCATTAAAATCATTAAAAATATTGCTTGCCATCCAAGCATTTTTATTGTAGTAATAAATCACCTGACAATGCTTGACCTTTTAGACAATAAGGGTTTTGCTTGCACTGATGACTAATCCAAGTCTTTTTAACTGTTCTGTCCATATTACATGTTAAAACAGTAGCATTTTAATTCTTCTTTCTACCCACACTACCAACTGATAGCTCACTTTAAACATTAAAGTGTACTGAGATAGGTCCTTACATTAGGCAGATAATCCTCGAGTGTTTTGCCTTAACCAAATAAACTAAATCTATATATATGCACATGTTATTTTGAGTATTTTTTAGGTGTTTTATCTTAAAAATAAATGTTCGTTAGCTCTCGGCTGCTTTTTATAGGTATTTTTAAAAGTTTTCTAAATGAAACTTCGTTTGCTCATGGCAGCTTTTTGTTTTGAGTATTTTCTAGACGTAATATTTCTTAAATAAAATATTTTTTAGTTTTAGGCAGCTTTTTATTATGAGTGTTTTTCTGTGCGATTTTTGGGCAATTATTTTGATTTGAAAAAAAGCTAATTTAAAACTATTTTGAGCCATCCTTATTTTAGGCTTTAAATACTGACCAAATGAATTTTTTCATTTTGGAAAAAAATTGTTTCTTTTATTGTTTAGGTTTTCCCCTTGATGATGTAATGATTGTAATTAGTTCGTTTGACCTTTTTAGGTTTTTAGGCTTAAATAAATCTTATGTAAAAATATTCATAACTTGTTGGACTTGCAAATGCTAATCCATATGAATTATTGTGAATGCTTAATATCAGCTTAGCAATTAGTAATTAAGAGTTGGATATAAAGTAAATGTATTTTTAATAAATATGCTGAAATCTAACTGTATTGTGTAATATCAATCTGAATATTTAGATCACAAAATTGCTTGCTCAAATATTTAAAACTAACGAAAAACACTTCTTTTGTTTATGAAAATAAGGATACATTATACAATCCCAGAAATAATAAAAAGGTACTGAAAGCTTGTGCAAAAAATGCAGTTTGTAGAGATATGCAAGATTTCAAACAATGGTGAAAGTACAATCATTTGCAGTGAAATTATTCTGCTGGAGAATAGCCTGATTCAAAATTTGAGTTTAAGGTTCCTTTATGCAAAATTAGATAAATATTTCCAATACTCATCCAACCTTCTTCAGCCTCCCCTTTAAAATTTTCAGTTTTCAAAATATGTTTATTTAAATTCTTAACTTTTCATTTTTATCTGTCTGAATCCGATAAGTGTCGTCACAGGTCTCCATATTTATTTTAAGTGATTAAATAGTGAATAAATGATAAACAAAAGAATTTCTTCATTAAAAGAGCAGAAAAAAGTACAGAATAGTTTTTTCTGTTTGAAGAAGTTACGTCAAAATATGTGGATTACTTCCGTAATATTAGCATAAAAAACTGAAAAGGTTGAATTTTTCCCCTCACATCCAAAAAGATAAAGTTAGCCAGCTTATGTATTATTGATTATTATGAAAGTTGCGGTTGTCACATGAAGATTATGAAAACTCACAAAATAATCTTTTAATGCACAGAAAAGTTTTATGTTTGAAGTATTTATTTAAACTGAAAAATATGGCATTAAATAAAAATTTAATTTTGGCTATTTATAAGTTTACTTCAATTTTGCAAGTTCTTATATTCTATTATAAGTTTCTCAAGTTCTTGTAAATATTGAACTCCTATTTTTTAATTTTAGGTTTGTGGCTATGAATGATAAACAAAATTTCCTTTTAATTCCTCAAACTAATTTTCCTGATTCAGATGTTCCTTTGGTTGGAATGTATGTATAAATTTTTCTTTACTCACATATACTTACATTTATGTAGAATACAAATTAGTCATTTGTTGTTTGATTCCAGAAAATTTAAAGGCAGCTCAGAATTTAATAGAAGTAACAATTTTCACAGTAGGATATGTGATGGGAATTAAAATGTGAACGTGGAAACACAATAAGTATGAAGAATGGAGAAAATGAAGTCATTTTAATCTTATATGATTGAAGAATTGCACAATTGAATAAGAATCAGTTACAAGACATGATAATAGAATTTGTTTGCACGTGTGGATTGACTTGCTGAAGATCTTGTCTCTAGAATTACCATTGTGTCTGCTAAAGTTCATGTTGTGCTGGGCATTTTTCTAAATGTACACCAATCACTTCATTGTCATTATGATGCATTATATTACAGTTTGGGGTCATTCATTTCAACAGTATTTCTTGTAAATACCCAATTAAAGTAATTTTTCTTTCTCTGGGTTTTTCGTAAATTTTGAACATATGTAAATAATTTATTTATTTCGTTTTGTATAATGTAACATTAAAATCTAAAGAAGCAAAGCTCGCGGAAATAGTAAGAATACAGGGACAAGTCTATTTAACATTGAGTAAAAGGCTATCTCGCCAAACTTGCGAGATATTGTCAAGCTGGCTATGGTTTCAACGACTAACTTTTGTTGCCAAGCTTGGCTACCATTTGCCAATATTATGGTCCAGTCCATGTATCACTGTAATGGGTATTGTAACTGAATAACTGCGATTGACTTACATGTAGCTGCAACCTTATCCAGCCTTCATATGCCTTCCAATAATTTTGAGAAGTACTAGAGATTTCTCGGCAACTGGGCATCAGTTTCAGAGAAGTAGATGTTAGTTCAGACCTAAATTCGGGGTATTCATGAGAGCTTTGGCTTTTAAATGCGCTGTGCATGGAGTTGTGTTTAACTTTCTTAGTAGTTTGAAGTGTAACTACTGATTATACTCTGTGATAATTTGAAGAGCTGTATGACTATTTTTGTGGAAAGTTCCAGAACTGTGAAGTGCTTCTTTTTGATTAAATAAATTTTATCAAGTTGTGGTCGGTTCTGTGTGCATTCAGTCTATTACGAACCCATATGCATGCAAAAATATGTGCTGTATTTTATTCACGTATTACCAAAAGTGTTACATTTGTCATGCTGTGCCATTTCTTAAAATTGTGATCTTCACTTCAATTACTCCCTGCATATATATATTACCTTAAATATATAAAAATAGTTTATATATACATATATGATTTTTATATTACTTAAGATAATTTGATATTTACGTGTTGTCAACTATAGTTTGTGCAGCTATTGCGATCCAAAATTTGAGATTGGCAAATGTTTTTTCTCCCTTCTGTTTTAATAATTGCTTAAATTAATAACCATTTTATCCACCAAATTTATTTATTTTTTGCAAAATTTCCCCTCTTTCAATAAATAAATCGTTAGTGATTGTGTGATTTCGCTTTTTTTAAACTGACTTGAAATTTCCTATTTTCAGTGTGTTTTGAATGTTGCTCTTCTATATCACGTTTTCTTAGATAATGTCTAGTTTCATTGTAACAAAGTTAAAACTCTTAAATTTCTAACAATACTATTGGTCTTGAGAAAAGAGATTGGCTTGCTTCCATTTCATGATTTAGTAAATCCTAGATATCCATGAAGAAAATAATAAATATATAGAGTATGTCAAAGCGGAAGATAAAATATGTGGAAGCTAATCAATGAAATATACAGTGCTTCAGTTATTATTTCATATCTGTTTAAGAAGTACAAAACTGAATATCAGTTTCTTTGTGATCCAAAAGAGGAGAATAAAGAATTTACAAGAGGAAATAAATTTTGAAGGTTATTTCAAAAAGTTTTTGCTAAATTCTTACATTTCCTTTAAAAAATTTCTTTGTTTGTGTATTGCTAAAAAATTAATAGATATATATGCAAATTTATATGAAAAAAGTTTTTGCTAAATTCTTACATTTCCTTTAAAAAATTTCTTTGTTTGTGTATTGCTAAAAAATTAATAGATATATATGCAAATTTATATGAAAACTGAACACATGAAAAATGAATTCAAGATTGGATGTATAATAATCACTATAATACAGCGGTCGGGGAACTTTTTTAATAATAACCAAAATATTTTTGTGTAAGTTGATATTACCCCATGGCGAAAAGAAAAGAAAAAAAAAAAAAAAATGAAATCGCCTCTTTTTTAGCATCTTTCATATTATAGGCCCCCATGATAATTTTGAAAAGAAAACAATAACTAAAAATTTAATTTAAACATCATTTATTCAATTTATCAATGTAATACCTAGTAATACATAACGGTAATAATAGTAATATAAGTAATATATATAACAAATTGAAACCCATTGGGGTACAATAGAGGGTTGACAATTTGGGGTACTGTAACAAATTATAATAATAATAATGGTGGTACAAACAAAAATGAGAATTGAAAAGATTAGAAAAAAAAAGAATAATTGAAAACAGTCTTCCTTCACGTTTTGGAGAAATATTATTTCATGCTCAATACAATTGCTTCAAAATTGGGACTTTTTGATGTAAGAGCGATTTGAATACAGTCTTAGGCGTTTAATCGATTTCTGTTCTTCGTTTTCATGTTCATTAGAGTGGAAAAGCCTTGTTCGCACAAATATGTTGTTCCAAATGGCAGCAATTTTTTAGCCGCCTCTTCATGTGCAATTTTGAAAGCCTTTGCAGCTTTTGACATCCAAAAAGACAACAGATTTGGTTTACTCTCAAATTGAATGCATGCTTCAGTATTAGATTGAAGTTCAAGAATTGCTTCTGCCAAACGTGAAGGTTCTTCTGGTATCATAGCAATTTCACATTTAAAAGGATCTACAATCCAACTGACAGTACGTGTATCAAGATCTTTAAAGTAATCTGAAAACCGCTTTCTGAGTTTGATAAGATGTCTTACAATTGTATCCTTGATGTCAGCAGAAGTAATATTTTCGTAATCTTCCGAAACAAAGCTAACCTTGAAAAGGAAGCTATCTTGTTCTGTTCTACTTTCTGTCTCCAATATTGCAGCTTTAATCCAAACGCTGACACTATTTCTCTCGCTGAAATGATATTAATATTCTTTCCTTGAAATTCTTTGTTTAATATATTTATACTCTCAAAAATGTCCGCTAAATATGCGAGATATGCAACCCAGGAAGAGTTTTTAAACTTATCTGCGAGAATATTTTTTTGATCAACCATAAAAATTTTGACTTGAGTTTTGAGAGTCTATACTCGATTTAGTACATTTCCGCGAGAGAGCCACTTTACTTCTATATAATAAAGTAGGTCCGTATATTCAGCTTCCCCGTCCTGACATAATTCGCGAAATAGCCATGTGTTTAGTGCATGTCCCTTGATAAAATTTACAATCTTGTTGACATCATGCATGACGGCTTCCAGTGTAGGTTCTAAATATTTGACCATAAGGGCCTGGCGATGGATCATACAGTGAGTTACTTCAATATTTGGTTTTTTTTTTTTTTTTTTTTTTTTTTTTTACAAAATGAAAAACCATTATTATGACCCAGCATAGCTGGAGCTCCATCGTAAGATACAGAAATACAGTTTTCTCATTTTAATTTTGTGCATTGAAGTATTCATTTACTTTATTGTAGACATCAATTCCACGAGATCTCAACTCGAGAGGAGAACAAAACAGCAATTCCTCTTCAAAATTATATGCACCTTTATAGCGAACATATACCATTAGCTGTGAATTGCTACTAAAATCAGTTGTCTCATCAAGCTGAATAGCAAAATATTTAGCCTGTTTTAATGCGAAAATAACCTGTTCCTTCACATTTTCTGCAAATATAGAAATTCGTTCTTTCACAATTCTCGCAGACAAGGTCACTGAATTCAGTTTCTTCGCTTCTTTTTGACCACTCATAATCTCTGCCATTTTTACAGCAGCTGGCTTAACTAAATCTTCACCAATAGTGTATGGTTTCTTATTTCGAGCAATCAACCAGGCTACTTCAAAGCTAGCCCTTGATGCTGAACGCTGATCAAATATACCAAACAAGTTGCTATTCAATCTTTGTCTTTTAACAGATATTTCTAAATTTGCAAAGTATTCTCGCGGTTTGGATGACAGGTGTGAATGCAAATTATCTAAATGTTTCTTCAATTGACTTTTTTGAAAGATTCTGAAGTCAGTACCTTCCTTCATACATACAACACACTGTGGTTTCATTGTACCATTGTCTTCTATTTGTGTAAAACCGTAATTAAGGAATTCGTCTTGGTATGTTCTTTTTCTGTTTCCTGCCATCTGAAAAAAGACAGAAAATAATAGTTAGTAATATACTTGAAATAAATTTTCAAATTGCGGCTTACCTTGATCGATATATCGATGATTAATGATAAAATGGTGGTCTTGTCAGCAACTAACTAGTAAAAACTCGCTCTCTGATTCGTCAATGTATTTATATTCTTGACGGCATGGCACAGACTGAGCAGGTAGCCGGTGGCTGTGCTTTACTGCACAAAGATATAACTCGAGAACACTCTGGTGGTGGGGAGTGAGATGGCATGGCCTGCATATGTCGCTAAATTGTTTAAGTTGAAAAAAATACTAACAGGTTTATAAAATAGCAAATTAAAAATATATACTTTTTACTCACAAAAGTTTCATTTTTACCCCCAAAAATTTCGTTTTTACCCCATTTGGGGTAATTTACCCCGGTTCCCCGACCGCTGCTATAATATAAAGGAGAACATAGGATTTTTGCTAATTTCTTGAGTAGACTGTTATATTTTAATTAAGAACTGCTATATTTTAATAACCTTTTCCATTAAATACTAAATATAATTTAAACATATATACAGTCTTAGTAAATATATAAAATTTAGTAAATTTAATATCAAAAGCTTGAAGTATTTTTTGTAATATTCTGAAAATTGTGTTTTAGAAAAATTAAGCAATAAGTCTTATAGTAACTGCTTTAATATTAATTAGCCACATAATTAATATGCACTCTGAATTAGAAGACAGGTCTGCATTCTGTGAATGACAATATTAAATACATTTGATGTAAGCTCTATGCATGCTGCAAAATTTTCATATTATGTTATATTCATATATTATAGAACAAGTAATAGTAATAATATAGATAGTAATTAGATGTGTACAATCTTTTCTATAAAATAAGAAATCCCTATAAAAATAAGAAAATCTATATTGTGTCTTTTATGTGTTTAATGTAAAATGTTACTTCAGCCATAAGTCAGTGGTCTCAAACTCAAAAAATTACATGCGGGCAAATGCACGACTTGAAAGCAACTGACGAGCCGGAATTTTTTTTTAACAAAGTAGAATTTAATTTAAAAGGAAAGTTATAATAACTAACTAAATTTTAGTATTCAACCAAAACTAATAATTAAGTATTAAACTTTCTGACTGACATTTATTTCAAATAATTCTAATATGTTAAATTAACCACCAAATATCTTACTTTTAACTTAAATTAAAAACAAGCAAATTATGAAAATTCTCGGAGTGGAACATAACTTGAAAATAAGTAACTTATTCTGAGTCCATATCTTTAATATTGTTTATATTTTTGCTTTAAAATATCACTTCCTACAATACTATTATTAATGTCTTTATTAAAAAATAAGTTTCTTTTGCATGCTTGTCAAAGCAAAATTATGAGTTTTACATATATGCTTTTGCTTGCAATTCTAACTTTGAATTCATTTAGAATGTAATGACTGCTTGTGCTTTTCTATTCTCTCAATAAACAATATATTTTAATCCACTGTGCAATGAATTTACGTTTTATCTAAATTTAAAAGCACAGAATTAACAACAAATATTTAGCTAAAGTGTATTTGCAGGCCCCCATAAATTTGCTTCAAGGGCCACATGCGGCCCACAAGCTACCAGTTTGAGACCACTGTAATAAGCTTCATTCAAGTAACTAAATATTTTTATCTAACATCCAGCAAGTCTACTTGATTTTATTTCATCTTTCTTAGTATTCCATAAATTCTATAATGTACTTTTGCGATTCTACACACTGTTATAGAGTTTTGATGTTCTAGTAAAAAAAAAATATAATAATTTTAAATGCAGTCTGTTCTGCATAGGCTCATAAATTATTTAATTAGCTTCAGAGTATTCTCTCCTACAGTTTACACATTTGCTCCCAATACCATTTCGAATTTGTCAGCAATTCTGATAAGTTTCTTTGGCGGCTCTATATTTGCTGTCTATAAATTTATTTTTATCTCATCAATTAAGTTAAATCTTTATTTTTTTAACTTAATTAACTTGATTTCAGTTTTGTTAAAAAAGAAAACTCTGATAGCAAGATAAGAAAAATAGCACAGTTATCTCTCTTTTGGCACAAATATAAAGAACTGAAAGAAGTGGTGAGTTATCATGTTGTAGGAAGCAGGAATTGTTTGTCCACAGTTTTAGATCTAACCATCTAAACATTTCAATCTTACACTAACTATTTACTGTTTGTCCTTCTAGCAAAATTTCATGGTGGGTAATAACCCTTTATATTAAAAACGATGGGCAAAGTATTCTTTACTTTCAGTCTGACCTGTGACACATTTTTTATCTTGAAGAGCCTTTCCCAGTCTATTGGGAAGATTGGGCATTTGTTTAAGCATCAAAACCCATGTCTCAATCGTCAGTGATGATTTTCATCATGAAATCTTTCTCAGTGGAATCTGTTATTGAGAATTTGTTCAGTAGCAGATGTTTGTCTCTGCATTCATGCAGTTTAAAAATTGTTTTTTATTTGTATTTATGTAGAATGTATTTATCAAGGCAGTATTATAATATTGTATTTCTTGGATAGTTTTTATTTGATTTTTTTCTTTTAAAAATATATTTCAGATGGGTTTCTGGAGTAGCATCTGTGCATCATCCATTTGTTTGGGCAGCCTGTTTAAAATATATATCTTGTATGAAGTACAAAAATCGGTAAGAAATATCATAATGTTCCATTTTCATGTAAGAATTAGCAATATATATACAGTCAAAAGTCGTTAATTCGAACACCCATAATCCGGACCTCAAACCTACAAACTTTCTGTGCATGTGTTGCGTAAGACCTTTACGGCTGCGAATACGCGTGTGCAAAATACGTTTATGAATGCGCGTTTAATGTATAACGGACGGTATAAGCTAAGCTAAAATTATCTAATTCAGTTAAAGTTGCAGATTGCATTGTTCTTTAATCTTCGAATTGGATTAGGCTTATTATTTTTTGCAGACTGTTAGAGCAATTTTATAAAAGTAAGCTTGAACTTTCGATTATGTCAAATAGAATTTCTGATATATATTTACTAATATGTAAAGGATCTACAAAGCGAAAGTATGTTTGGAAGTCCATTAAACAAAAAGTGGAAATTGCTGCAAAAAATGGATAAAGGCATATCCTTTGTGTATCTAAACTTTGTTTATCTTTAATGCCGCGGCAGTGCGCAATGAATTGGAAGTTTATCTGTCAGCACTATCCTTATCTTCAGGGCAGATGTTTTTATTTTATTTGGCTTATAATTCCTTACTAAATGTAGTATTTCATCTCGATATACTCCGTCTTTGATATGATTTAAATCAATTTCCTCGTCATTATAATTCGCTTCCGATAGTAAAGAAAGTGACAGAGGTTATTGAAAACGAAAAAATTTCGATTGACAAATTAGTCGGTATTCTCGACACAGCAATTATAGGACTTGAACAGCCGAACTTTGTAACTGAACAAGAAATTATGTCTGTTTATATAATTAAAGAGAATGTATTATCACATAAAAAACGAAGCAACTTAAACAACTTACATTGAAAGAAATGCTTAATAAAGTAAACAAATAAATATTAAGCTTTTTTTAAAAAAAAATTTTAATACCCTTTAGATCATAATTGTTCTTTATTTCATAAATTACGGTTTCATATTTTTAATTTTATAATTTCTGCATGCCATCTTACCAGATGTAAACTGATGATCTATAATCTAGAAAAATCGATAATCACTGAAGTTTCGACGAGTACGGATTAACGACTTTTGACTGTATAGAGAGAGATAGCTGTATAGATATAGCAGGTTAAATTTTAATAAAGTATTGAGTTTTGCCTGCTTTTTAGAGTCATATAGTACACAAAATGATTGAATATCAGTATTTTTATTTCAGTGTGTAGATGTCTGAAATTACATCAGTGAATTATGTTAGTTTCTTTTTTTTTAGTGCATGCAAAAGTGTAATGTAGTTATATGCATATAATTCTGTCATAATCTATGCCTCTAGCAGCTGTCTGAATAAAACTATTGAACTACTCTTTGACATCCCATGGACTGAATAGGCTGTAAAATATGAGTATCATGAGTGCCTATTATCATAATTAAAATCTTCATACTTGTTTAATTTACTTCAGTTTCCACATGAAGTTAGTAAGCAAAGCTATCTAGCAGTCTTGTATCAAATCTACTATTTTGTTATTTGGTATCATAAAAAGAGAGCAGAATGCATGTGCAAAGCTTTTGACAGTTCTACCAGGGTTCGTACGGTCCTTAAGAGTCCTTAAAAGTCATTAGATTTTTTGGAATCGATTTTTGGTCCTTAAAAGTCCTTAATTTTGGCCAAACTCAGCAGAAGGTCCTTAATTTTAATCATCTGAAATTTCTGTCTGTTTTTACGACTGCCATTTTGAGTGGGAATTAGCATTTTGGAGGAACATTTTGGGCGATTCACTGACATATATGGTTATTTTTTGAATGGGTTCATGGGTTATAATTTGTTTCTATTTCAAATATAAATGATACTCGAGTTTCTAAGCAAGAAGTGAAACATAAGCATTTTGAAATTAATTTTTCCTAATAAAGAGCTTTTAAACAACTTTTCGCATTTGGGGATGTGAATTCTTTTATTAAACATTTCTAAATTTGGCGATTTTAAGTTAAGTTTCTATAGAAAAATTTTAATTCCGAGATCTGAGAATGTTTCCAAGATTTTTTTTAAAACATCGTAACATTGATAAATTTCATTAAAGTAATGGTAATATATTCAAATTATATTAAAAAAATAACATTAAAATAAAACTTTTTTTCACTGTCGTATTATAAAGTTTCATTTTGGCAACTTACTATACAAAATTTTGAATCTGAAAAATAAACAAGATATAATGCTCTAAAGCAGAATTTACAAAACAGCTCTTAGCAAATGCAAAATTATCTATGTAAGTAATTAAAAATATTATTTTAGACATTGCAGCTTGGAAGGTTTAGAAGGATTTGAAGGCAAGATTTATAGACACATGATTCTAGAAGGATTTGCAGAAAATAATTGACAAAATGAAAATGACTTCATTGGTATTAACATGGAGATGTAATGGATGTATTTTACAGAAAGTTTGCAATGAATTTCTTACTTTTTGGAGAACGTCTGTAAGAACAATGAAAACATAATATTTGAAAATGTTTTTCTTCTGATGCTAGAATCTTTTAACATGTTTATCTTCCCTTTATTTTCTCTACTTTTCATTAGACTCAAGCATGGAAAATATCAAAAATGCTTCTAATCTTATCACATGGGCAGGCATTATAGAAAAGGATTTTTCTATTAATAAAGAAATTGAGAGCTAACAATTTAAAAGATTGATCTAATATTTCGTAATGCATCATACACATAGCACTAGGCATTTTCCCACTTGATGCAATCTCTGTGGATTCTAAATTCTGCTGCCTAGTGCCTTTCTAAATTCTGCTTCCAATGCCTACTTTAAATTCTAAAAGTTTTGCCCTTTCTAGATTTTGTTGTTCAGTGTGTCACTAGATTCTAAATATTCTGCCACATCAGCTCTGTAACTGGCCTTTATGATATATATTTCATATTTCTTCTAAATGTTCATATTACTAAAGAAATAAAATTAGCTGCTTTTTGTATACATTCTAAATGCATTTAGTGTTTTTTAGAATAACAGAAATCCTTAATTAAATTCCAAAACGAAAAGGAAACATGTTGAAGAAAGAAATTGAATGCATAAAAAAAATTATCCTTCAAAGATATGTGCAGTTATTATTATTATGTAAATTACCCAATTGTTTATGATTTCAGCCTTTACTATAATTTCCCATTTCTATTTCCTCATATGATGGAGTTACTGAGCCAGATAAATTTAAATTAAATTGTGTAATCTTTGACCACTGCTCCACATGATGATATGTGTGACTGTATGTCATATTTTCGTTGTGTGTTTTATGTGTGTTTTCCTTCCTTACTTTATGCTATCATTTTTACTAATACAGTTTTCTTGATTTAGTTATTTTTGGTTTTCTTCTTTCCTGTTGTGTCGTTAACCCAGCCATTTAAAAAAAAAATAATAAATAAATAAAAAATAAAATAAAATTATATAGTCGTATGGCTACCTTGCTGGATGTATAATTATTATTTTCTTTAGTTGATTATACTAACATTTTTAGTTACTCGGAATATGGTGTGAATGGGATGCTCCCTTTTTGAACCATAAGATCACTTTGTGATCAGGCGGGTTGGGGCGTTCTAGCAAAAACAAAAACAAAAAACCACTGCTCCACATTTTTAGTTTGAATTTGACTGTTCTTGTTTAATTACGTCACTATGAGCTGTAATTGATTTTGTTAGCATCAGAACATGTCTTTATGTTCTAGGTTCTTTTTAAATAATACTCTTATTTAAACAGGTTTCATACGGTCCTTAAGAGTCCTTAAAAGTCCTGTAGGTTTTTTTGGACTCAATTTTTGGTCCTTAAAAGTCCTTAATTTTGTCAGCCAAAATTGGTAGATCTCCTTAATTTTAATCATCTGAAATTTCTGTCTGTTTTGTATGACGAGTGTCATTTTGAGTGTGAATTTGCATTTTGGAGGAATATTTTTGGCGATTGAACTGATAAAGTATGGTTATTTTTTGAATTGTGAATGGGTTCATAGGTTATAATTTGTTTCCTATTTCTAATATAAATGGTGGGATACTCAGGTTTCCTCAATGTAAAGCAAGAAGTGAAACGTAAGCATTTCAAAATTATTTCATTTTTCCTTCTAATGAAGAGATCCTAAAACGACTTTCCGCTTTGTGGGGATGTGAATTCTTTTATTAAATGGCTCTAAATTTGGCGACTTAACACCATTTTAGCGATTTTGAGCTCAGTTTCTATGGAAAATTTTTAATTCCGAAATCTGGGAAAATTTTGGATGATTTTTTTAGAACATGTCTAACTAAGGGATAATATTTCATTAAAATAATGGTAATGTATTGAATTGTATTTAAGAAATAACATTAAAATAAAGCATTTTTATTACTGTTTTATTATACAATATTTTGAATTTGATAATAAAACAAGGTATAATGCACAATTTACGAAACAGTTCTTAGCAAAAGCAAAATAGCTATGTAATTAATTAAAAATATCATCTTTTTAATTTTTTTCATGATAAGAATTTTCTCATATAATTTTCTCAGAATATGCATCAGTTTTCTCTATAAAATTAATTTTATGCTTTTTAAATAAGAGGCTTATTTACACCTTTGTCTGTAGTTGTAGTTACTTTCAGACATAGCAATAATTTGCTTCATGTCTGTTGGGAGGGGGTTGGACTATTTAACTTTTAACAAATCAAGTAAACCCTCATAGGTACATTGTGGAGAGGTTGACAAGTTAAGAGATACAGCACACAGAAACTAGTGAAAACGTTGGTTTGAATATTGAAAGAAATTTTTAATTCTTGGAAAAGATGCTTAAAGAGAAGGAAATCGATATAAATTAGCCAAAATATCTAGCCACGCTTCAGATTAAAAAGATGCATAAATATTTTGTTGGGTGTTGTTGCTACAAAACATAAATGTTTTGTACCTTTTAATGTATGATTATCCTAATATCGTTTAAGAATCAGTGACATAAATTACATGTATTTTAAACTGGGAAATTTTATTAGATTTTAATAGAGATTTTAA